TTGTTTGCCAGAAAGCTACATAATGCTGTTGAAATATTTTTGATTTTGAGATCCAACAAGGCGCCAAATCCCATATCTCTGATAGCCTGCCTTTGTAGTTGGCGATGATCTACCGCATCTGGCTCTTCAGTAAGATATATTGGTTTATTGATTTCAGTGATGAGTTGGAAGAGATGGTTTGGTGTCATCCTGGTCTCAAATTTCTTGACACAATGTTCAGAACTGATTGGCTGTGAATCTTGACCAATCATCAGTTTGTTCTCAAGTTTCCTTCTTTTCTTTTTGGGCTTCTTATCATCAGCGGAGTCATTATCATCAGCGACCACAAGTTGCTTTTGGATTTTCTGTCGGCGTGCTCTTCTTTCTCTTTGGTTTCCTCCACAAGTTGTGGGGCCTTGGACTTCGAGCAGGGAACTGTTCTTCTTGTGTTGATTTTGATTTTTTAAATATCGTCAATGTTCCGTCAGGGAGCTCCATTACCTCTGGTTCAGGATCCGGTGATCTGTCTGGGTTGCGGTTAAGGTTAAAGTCATGGCTTGCGCTGATCCGTCCGTGCATATGTTTTGTTCTAAGCTCCTTTAGGGCACTGTTGCATTGGATAATCACTAAGAAGTCAGTGGACAAAATAGCAGCAGATGAAAAGGAACAGTAATCAAAAAAGGAGTAACCAGTATAAAATGGGTGGATAACCAGCAAATAATGTATGGACAAGTAGCCACATAAAAGCACATCTAAAAAAAAATGGATAACCAGTTTACACCCTGCCAATAATCAGTATAAAATGGGTGGATAACCAAAAACAAAGTTTGGACAAGCACCCCATAGCACACACACAGGAAAATATAGATAACCAGTTCAGATATATTGGATAATCAGTAACAAAAAAAATACAAAAACATGGATAACCAGTTCAGTTTGTCCATGCCACATAGAATCAAATATAAAAAAAGCATGGATAACCAGTTTACAACTTGTGGATAACTAGTTTGTACCTTCTGGATAACCAGTTTACACCTTGTGGATAACCAGTTTACACCTTCTGGATAACCCGTTTATACCTTCTGGATAACCAGTTTATAACGTGTAGATAACCAACAATTATGGCATGGACAACCATCACATAGCACACGCAGGAAAACATGGATAGCCAGTTCAGATCTAGTGGATAATCAGTAACAAAATTATGGATAATCAATAAAGCATGAATAAGAAACCATATGCGAACGCAACCACATATCAATCGCAACAAGGCATGGATAACAAGTTCAGATCTAATGGATAAACACAAAATATTGATGGGCAATCAAAGAAATAGGATCCCAGAGTAATATACTTACGAGTGAAGCATGTGTAGATGAAGGAGAGCTTGAGATGGCCGGAGGTGGGGTTTCTCGCCGTCGTGTGTGTGTGTGTGTGAAAGAACAGACTGACAAAATAAAAAACGCAGAGAGAAGATGAAGTTATCAAAATCGTCTTTCAGCGGAGGTTTTCCGTCGACTTTGTGTAATTTTGTGGTGGTGGTCAATTTTGTATTTGCCCTAAAATAGAGAGTTTCCGTCGACTGTGTGTTTATGTGTGTTTGTGCGTGAGGATGAAAACAATAAAATGGATGAAAATAATTTTGTTTGTGCATTTAATGTAAAGATGAAAACAGTTAAGCGTGTATAGCGCATGCGTTTGGTGGGGGATATACGGTACATCTGGGTGCACTGGATACAGACTCATTTTGTTGCTTCATGTTGTGAGAGCTAATGATAGATAGATCAGTGGCTGTGAAATTATCAATTAATGTCCAATTCTTCATTATAAATTGCATGCATTCCTTAAATATACCGAAGTGTAGTACCAGGAAAGATAAGTTTAAAAGTTCCACTATATAAAGATATCTTGTTATTTACGTTTTACTATGAGGTTGGCTATCACTAAAGCAGTCTATTTCACCCTTTTCCCATCTTTATTTTTGGGGAGACCTCTACTTTCGATTTTAATGATGAAAAATGGAATCAAATTAATCGGAAGGGGTTAATCGGCGGATAAAAGTGTATAAATTTAGGGTTTAGAATTTTAGATTCTATTTCACCATTTATTAATTCTTCCCATAGTCTATGGAAAAAAGTGTAAAAAACACAAAGGCATTGACTAACAAAGACAGGAGCACAAAAACTAGCAAAAGTGTGACTGCAAACATGTGTTTCTGGATAATGTATTTCTTTCCAGTTTTTAAATGAAATGATGAATTTTGAGGTAAAAAAAAAGAAGAGACAGGAGCTAATCTCAAAGATATTGATTGAAAGCATAAAACTAGAGTTACATTTTCGTTAAACTAAATAAAAGAAAATTTTGGTAATTTAAATTTGGATAAAAAGTTCCAAATAAAAATTTTAGTTTTATAATTAAAAAAATTATTTTTATAATGTAATAGTAAATAAATTATATATAATATAGTACCATGAAAAAAAAAAACAAGTGAAGAAAAGAAAAGTTGCAAAAACAGGAACCCAACCCCTTATGGGTTCTTAATAATACTTCTTTCATCCTAAAATTATTGTCCAATTTAGATTTTCATTTTAGTTTAACTAAAAATAAAATATTAAACTAGACAATCATTTTAGAACAGAGTGAGTGAATAATTAAGTATTAATCCATTCATGTTATTACATTTGTTGGTTCACAATACCCATCATTCAAACACATCCTAAGCATTTCTCTTCAAAATTTCAATTCAACCAGCAAAAATTCTCATATGACTTCTATTAATGTAAACTTATTAATTCCAAATAATTGAACGAACGAGAAAGTTTTGATTATCTTTTCGCAAAAGAAAAGAAAAAAAGACTGAGCATGTTTATAAAGATTTATGTATTGTGGGAATATGAGTTATATAGAAAAAGGGGTAGATTTTATAATTACTCCCTCCGTCCCATAATTATTATTCAGTTTGGATTTTCATTTCTAGTTTAAATTGTACTAAAAGTGAAATCTCAAACTGGACAATAATTTTGGGACAGAGGGAGTATTAGTTATTACTCCTACTATATAAGGGTAGGAATTATTTATTTTGAAAATGAAAACATACTAGGTGTTAGACTCGTTCGATGGACGGGGAGAACATGTACATATAAACATTACAACACAAGCAAAGTAATAAAAATATCACTATTTCTATGGATTTTGTACTTTTATAAAATGTTAATTATAAATTATATAATTATTTCATTGAAAAATATAAAACACAAACATCAACAACACTTTACAAAATGGTTATACTTTATTTAATGCAAAGAGAATTATTAAAAAAATCTAAAAAAAAAGAGAATATAAAATAGAAAAAATAATTAACTTTGAATTGAATGATTATATGTCCTGCAATACTTCTCTGTGAACGAAATTCATAGTCTTAAATTGACGTTACCACATTCATCGCATATTGGGTTCTTGATTCCTTGTCTCGAAGTGACTATTGATAAGGCAACATATAATTAGTCATGGTTAACACTGGACGTGGCAAATAAAATGATTTGTTAATTTAAAGGTGTTAATCGGACGGCCAAATAAACTTAAATGGAAATTATAAAATAGAGATTTAATGGATGAAAATTTCTACCAAATATAATATAAATCATAATATAGAGAAAATGAAATTATTCATTATTAGATGAATTTTCTATGAAAAACAAAAATGCTAGTAATAATGTATAGTAGCTTTTTTATAATGGCTTCATTCATAAAGAAAATATAAAATAGATAAACAAAAACATATGTGATATGGATATTTTCAGCATAATGTGTAATGTTGAGAAAAGAAAAAAAAAAGCATTTCGAATCGAATAATTATATATCTTGCAATAATTTAAATCAAAATCATTAAACTTATTTTTAATGACATTCTATGAAAGAATCATTTTTTTCCTTGATTCTAAGGTAGAATCATTTTTTTTACCACATAAATAATATCATTGAAGTTATTTGCATATTTAAATTTGATCTCTCTCAACTTGTTTTTAATAATATCCCACAATTACTTTGTAGTGGGTATCTATTCTTTTTTCTTAATGATATTGCAAATTTACCCTAGGCATTTTTAAATCTAAAAAATTAAGAAAATGCCACATAGGATTTAATCCTATGTGGCATGCTCCACGCCTTTAAATTTCTCTCTCTGATTTTTGACTTAGTATATTACTAGATGCTTACCCCGGGCGAATGTCCAGGGTGCCGCCTGTATTTTTAAATCGATTAAATAAAAATACAAATCATTCTTAAAAGAAAAAAAAATAGAAGAATAAAAAATCGATTGAAAGGACAGAAATTGAGTTATTATACATAAATCTATGCCTAGATTTATAACATTTAATTTACAACAGTTAACTTATGTCCGGGTTTATATAAATCATAAACCAATATCTACAACAGAAGAATAAAAAAAAATCATCCTTAAAAAATCAAATTTCTTTCATAACAGCTTATTTTTTCTCTGTTATAGAAAGAGATGGATTGATAATTGATGTCAGATTTTAGGTAATTGACTTAAAGGCCCGGGTATGAGAGATGAGCGGAATGGAAGAGATTCTTTGAAATTGGGGATTGAGAAGACATTATTGTGTTTCACTTGATTTAAGGGGATTTCCTTACATTTGATTTTATTAATTAAATATTGTTGTTTTAAAAGATTAGTATATACCTATAATTAAGAGATTTTTATGCATTTATAATTAAGAGATTTATGTATTTATTTATTTTATCTTTTTTTCTGATTAGTTAGAGTGCCACTTGTCAAAAATAATTTTGTACTGAAAATGACTTTTGGCGGAAAAATTTTCATTCTAGTGCTGACACATGTCCTTTTTGTTTGCTGCTTTAATTAAGTACTATAGATATAGATAGATTCGAAAAAATAACATTTTCCTTTAATTTATAAATGGCAAAATTACTTATATTTAAAAAAACCCCCCGAAAATAGAATTTATACGGAGTACAAATTATTACAATGGCCCAAACCCAAAATAAGGGGAAATACAGTGACTGCTTCGAGCAAGTTCGTCGTAGATCCCAATTCCGTGGCGGGCACCCTTTAAACCTCACACCAAAATGCTACAATCAAAACACACACACACACAGAGTCTTACTTTTATTCACTCGTGTAAAATTCACTGACGAATAAGCATCACTGGAAGAGAGGCCACTGATTCCTGCAATTTCCGTCGAATCTCGGAGAGAAAAATGGAAGAAAGGGAGAGACAGAGGAGGCTTTTGGAGAGAGAAAGGCTCCATATGGAACAGATACGACAGCTCGACTTTGAGGAACTGCAGGTCGAAGAGGTCGGCGACGACGATGACTATTCTTCGGACCATGATCGTGAACACAAGTGAGTTCTTTGTTCTATTGTTTTCGAAATTTTGGACAATCTTTAACATTATACTCTCAATTTTTTACTCTTTTTGATAATCCGTAGCTACGAATTTTTTTCATACATACGTTTCTTCTGTGTAACCGGAGCTCAAAGTTGTGATTTTGAGCTAGAATTTGAAGATTGAGTAAATAAGAACCAATTCAAGTTTGACCAAAAGCTTTGTTTATTGGGAACACATTGGTGTTATTCTTCTATGCAATTTAGGGTTTTAAAAGCGTTTCAACTTGATAAAGGTTGTTTCAACCACCAAATTGGTTTTATGCATCCTACATTGGGTTTGAATATTGGGGCTTTGTCTCCCACATCTGTGGTATAATTGATGCTTGTTCATTTACTTGTCCATGATTTCTTTGATCTAGAAATCAAGTTACCTTCTTTTTGGGTGTACTACACACCTGGTGTTCGAAGCCTCTGCCCCGACTACTGATATTACCCTTAAGCGGCCCTTAAATTGGAATAGATCCTCAGAAGTTTTTTGGAGTAGTTAAGTCAGACAAAGAATGATGTATACTGCAAATTCTGTTTGCTTGAAATGGCTCTAAAGTTCTGGTCTTCCTGATTGTTTTTTTTCCCTTGTTAAAGATACTCCTTTTATGAGTGGAATTTTTATTGTTATGGGTTCTTCAGCACAATATTAAGGTTATGTGTCTTTTGTTAAACTACAAAATAGATTTCATGCATCCCATGTCAACGAGGACTATTCCACGAAATCGGGTCCATGCACGTGTCAAAATATTAGTCCATATATTGTATCGGCTTTCTATGTGGTCAGGAAACACTTTTGACCTTGGCATATTGTGTCTTTTGTGATTTGCCTTATTTTTGTTATTCTTTGAGTTCTGATGCTGAATTCTTGGCTTTGTTTTCTTGATTCAGTCATCGTAATTCTGGCGGAGCTTCTGCCTCTGGTGAATTTACTTATGATACCTCTTTGGCTGCTTTGCACTCGTACCTGGGGGGTAGGTCCTTTTATTGGATTTCATCATACCACATTTTGCCAAATCTTTTTGAAACTGAACTTACATTAATGATCAGATGTTGAGGACACACATAATAGGCTTGCTTTTTTGGACGGTGGCGCTCTATTAAATCTTCCAATGCTCTATCTTGAAGGTGCTTTTTCGACGTCTCCTCAATGAACTTTTGGTATTTGCCTTGATGTCCATTACAAAGTAGTAAAAATTGATCCTTTATTTTAGCCAAATAAACAGCTTGCCGTAATGGTCCCTGTCTGGTATCATTCAAGAGTGTGTTGTTACATTTTATATTCTTTTTTGTACATGACAATAAGCTTTCCAAGTATGCAATTGTATGTTATGCCTAATTATGTATTGACATTTAGTACCTGTGAAGAGTATAACAGTTAAATCATGTTTTTTTTCTGTTTACTTGACTACATCTAGTCTCTTTCTTACGCCCCATAGTTCCACTTTGTCAGGGGTTGTTTTGTTTCCGGAGGCCACTCTTCCTCTCAGAGTAATTCATGTTCATTTTATTGCGGCGGTTGAAAGAGCACTGTCTCAAGTTGTGGCTCCTTATACCATAGGTGTGGTATGTGGATCATTTATGGTGCTTTCAGATCTGCTTTTCTCCTTAGATGCTTCTTTTTTTCATTCAGTTGAACCTGTTATTGAACATGTTTGTCAGGTTCGTCTTTACAGAGATCCTCATAATGGGAGAGTAAGATTTGCAAATGTGGGCTGCACTGCTGAGGTACGTAGTGGAAAACTCCCACTGAAGGCACATACGAAATAGTTGTTTTGTTAACCATGTCTATTTTAATCAAGCAAATGTGCTACTTTTTCTATGCATAAATAATTCGAGTTGATAACTTGAAATTCAACGATGGCGTACCCCTCATGTTTATTCGCTGGAGTTACATTTTTTACACTTTTCCTTTTTCTGTGTGGGAGGTGGGGTGTTGAAGTTTTTTCATATGGTACTTCCTTATTATAATGTTTTAATTGTTGCATCAATGGTTATAACTTTCAGAAGCAGAGCTCATGAAACTATGTAGCTCTTTTGGCAGTATTTATTTCATGAAATTGCACTAGTATAAACTCATTGACTTTCAGAAGATAAAAGCCACACTTGAATGTTCCCTATCTATTTATTAAGCCTAGCATGGTCGTTTCTCCCTTTTGACTTGTAATGGTGGCGTAGATCGATAACTTCAAGGGAGAAGGAAAGAGTGGTAAATAGCATACTCCTGTATGTTGCACTAAAGTAGTTGATTTTTAAAAGCATGTGCGTGCCAGATACTGGATGGTGTCTGATTATTGTCCTCTTATCCATTCTCCCCCCCCCCAAATTTCAGATTCGGCAATATCGAAGGCTGGAAGATGGCTCAGTGAATGTTGTTACTCGTGGGCAACAGCGTTTTCGTCTGCAACGGCGCTGGATTGATGGAGATGGTGCAGTAAGTATGATGACATTTGATAAACATAATTATCTTTTGCATTTGTTTAATATCTAAATTTGCATGGCTCTTTTGCAAATAGACATGTGGAGAGGTTCAAATAATCCAAGAAGATTCACCATTGAGGACACCACAAGAAGCTGTTGGAAGGCTGTCACCATTGAGTAGCTGCCAAAGTCGTGTATTGCGAGCACATTCTTTGGAAAGTCCAAGAGCTAGATGCTCAGGAGATTGTGATGGAAATGAATCTGAGGCTATGTCAGAGGACAGTTTCGAAAGTGAACTTTCTCCTCGTGAAAAGAGATTGCATCATTCTGTGCTCCATTCATCTTTTGATACTATCTACGAGTCTGGGAGCGGTGATGATGCAAAGCTTGATTCGCAGGTAGAAGTGCGACAAGATAGCTCTTTAGCCAACCTTCTGGGTCCGTTGGAAGGAGACGAGGGTAGAACTGCTCTTTCTGGTAACCATTTGTTTAAAAGGATGAAACAAAAGTATGCATTAGCCCAGATGCGTGAAGTTCCAAGAGCCTTCTGGCCTAATTGGGTTTACCGCATGTATGATTCCTATACCCTCGCTCAGAAGGCAGCAGGTTGGTGGCAGTGTCCTTTCTAGTTGCTTAATCTTTTGCAACTTGCACCTTCGCTGTCTTCCTATTTAAAGCTTTTCAGGTGTCAAAGCAAATTTGGTTGTACATTGTTAAAAGAGATATATAGCTGAGGAATTGCATGAACTACTGCTGTTAAGGAGTGGGAAATAATTACCTTTTGTACATGTTATATCTTTTAGACATATGTGCATAATTTCCTTTGTGAAATTTGTGAAATTTCATCGACTGTGATGTCTTGTTGTTATTCCTTTCATCGAATGTGATATGTGCATAATTTTGATTATTTGTTGTCTCTTCAAATACTTTGAGACATATATGGGAGTATAATTTATTCTTCATCCTGTCATTCCAAGTATCATGGGCTCCTAAAACTTGATTTTCTTCAGCTGTTGAAGCATACAATCTTAGGTTGTTAATATCTGGATTAGAAATGTACAAATAGTTTAAATGGGTTGATCTAAAAATTAATATTATTCCCGCATAGTGGGATGAATAACTCTCACTGTTGTGAATGCTACTAATCCAAATTCAAATGTTGCAGATAGGTGGAAGCACATTGTTAAAGCACCTAATATGGATGGGTTTGTGATGAAGCCAGATCTTCTGTCATTTCATATTGCTAGTAAGATTCCTGTATCTGAATCAAGGAGGCAGGAGCTTCTTGAGATAGATGGTATTTCCTATAGATTGCGAAGGGAAATTGAGTTGCTTGAGGGTTTTGACCGCATTAGATGTAGAACTTGTGAGGTAATATGGATATTTGACAAGTTATATTCAAGTTGACTGCCTGGAGTGTAGTTATATAAGGATCGAAGTCTAGGTTTTGCCTGAAAATAGTTGTATTAATTATTCTGTCTTTCTGCACAATGTAGACACTGATTGCAAGACGGAGTGATATGCTGGTGATGTCAAGTGAAGGTCCACTTGGGGCCTACGTGAACCCACATGGTTTTGTACATGAAGTGATGACCCTGTATAAAGTAACTGGGTTGGCTGTTCTGGGAACTCCTGTTAAAGAACATAGCTGGTTTCCTGGGTAAGACTCATTCATGGCTCTACTATCATTATTGTAGATATATATAACCTCTGGAGGCATGGGTTTTTGGTTTCGATTTAGCATATATAACTCTTACTCGTACATGTAGGACCATAGAAACCTCACTTCCTTTCTGAAAAGATTACAAAAAATGAGGTCCAAATATGGTGATTTTTGTAAACCAAAAAGAAAAGTCTGGTGATTTTTGTCTTAGAGATTTTTTGATGGGGCTTGCAGTTAAAGTCTATATTGTTATGATCCAAATGGAGCTTTTCTGTTGACGAGATAATCTTTGGCAGTTATGCTTGGTCCATTACCGAATGTGCCTCTTGTGGAGCCCCAATGGGATGGCTTTTTACAGCCACCAGAAAAAGGTTGAAGCCTAGATCATTTTGGGGCATCCGTAGCTCCCAAGTCGCTGATGATACCCGCTAAAAGTACATCTTTTGCACATTTTCAGTGTATATATTGTTTGTGATATCTATATATGTAAAACTTAAACAATATGTGTATCCCGTGTTCACTCTTTTTAATGTAAGTTTATTTTCTTTAGTGTGCCGTGTAGATCGCCAGGACAATCGATCTATTTAATCTTCATGTGTGCTTGAGCCCTTTTTGTAGAGACGAGAGATAAGGCTTGAGTACAAATAGTCAAGCTACATCACAAGAATCTATGTAGTCGTTGTGAGTTTCTTCTCCCCTGGAACTTTGCTCTCCTCTTTTTGAAAACAAGATGTTTATTTATAGGACAAATGCCCATTTTAGTTCCTAATGTTTAGGGGCTAGTCCAACCCAGTCACCAAAAAATATTTTGTCTCCAATTTTAGTCCTCATAAAGTTTTTTCGTACCACTTTTAGTCTTTTTAACATAATTTGGATGAAACTAACTGTTTTCCATTACATGTATAATATTTTTTTTTTTTCCTGATGGTGGGTTGTATTAATTTTGACCCAGAAAAAGAAACATGATAAAAATTAATTTTGGTCCCTAAAGTTTAGGAAGTTTAACGATTTTAGTCACCCCAAATTTTTATTTTATCATTTTTAGTTCTCGTAAATTTAATTTTTCAACTGTATTTACTCAATTTATTTTTAATTTTAGATTTATATTTTAATTTTTTGTATCTTTCAAAAGGTTTTTAGATTTGGTTTGAAAATTCAACATTCCTCCATTTGTAAATTTTAAAATTCATAAACAAAAATTAGTTTATATTGAAGGGATAGAAAATAGTTAGAAAAAATTCACGAATAATTAGACAAAGGATGAACATGACACTAAGAATTTAGAAGTAGGAAACAAGATATTTTATAAATTTAAAATTCAATAGACAAATTAATCAAAAATATTTCATTCATTCATTTACCTTTTATACCTCTGAGTTGACCGCAATTTTTTCGTGATGTGCCTGCCTTGTAGGATATAGATGTGTTGATGGCAATGATGATGACATACGATAATGGAGGAGAGTGATGGTTATAGAATTGGATGTAAAATGGGTCATGGCAAAAGAGTATGTCAAAATTAAAAAAAAAAAAGAGTGAAAAAAATTGTAATTATCACTTGATTTTCTAAAATATTTTTTTAATAAGAATTATTTATAAGATTTTGGTTTATGAATCATTCTCCTTTGCAATGTAAACTGATTTTGGTTTATGAATTTTAACATTTACAAATGGAGGAATGTTCATTTTTCAAACAAAATTTAAAAACCTTTTGAAAGATACAAAAATTTTAAATTTAAATTAAAATAAAACAAGTAAATATATTTGAAAAATTAAATTTACGAGGACTAAAAATAATGAAATAAAAATTTGGGATGACTAAAATCGTTGGACTTCCTAAACTTTGGGGACCAAAATTGGTTTTTATCATGTTTTCTGGGTCAAAATTAGTGGGATCCACTATCAGGAAATAAAAATATAATATGGTGCATCTAACAGAAAAATGTTAGTTTTTTCCAAATTCCGTTAAAAAGACCAAAAGTAGTTTGAAAAAATTTTATGAGAACTAAAACTGGAAACAAAATGTTTTTGATGACTGGGTTGGGCTACCCCCTAAACATTAGGGACCAAAATGGGGATTTGTCCTTATTTATATCATTAATTGAGGGGCCAGTGTTTGGTTTTTTTTTGTTCGGCTTTTTCAATTTTTTTTTTATTATTAATCAATGTTTCATAGCATCTTCGCCAGTTGAACTCTCCCTTTATATATTATAGATAGATACACTTTTTACATTTTCACTAGAAAACAATTTAAATATAATCTTTTCAACATATATGGTGAAAAGAGAGAGATTGACACTAACGCAATTAAACTCTAGTGCACATGAATTGAAAAAAAAAAAAAAGGAAATGTTATAGTATTTCTTAATGAAAACCGTACATAAATAGAATGAAGTCTGAAAGAATATCTATCAAATTATGAACCTCAAGAAATCAATTATAAGCTATATCAGGAACTTTAAGCCAAACAACAGCAAGGTTAACGGTAATTGCGGTAGACTGGTGTGTACATGCAGCTCTCAGCATATTTCACCAGATCCTTCGGGCGAGGCAGACGGGTTGCTAGACCTGATAAAAAATAACAAAACACGATGATAGAGTTAGTTTACTGGAAGAAGAATGAAAAATTCCGAAACTATGGTGAAACTAAATGTCCAGAGGGGACGCTAACCAAGATCATACGCCTTGGCTGCTACTTTAGCTGCAATGTTGGCTGATATTTTTCTGATGTCACTGAATGGTGGATAAATAAGTCCCTTGGCATAGTTCTCCTCCGTAACTTGAGCTGCCAAAGCTTCCGCTGTTGCAGCAAAAAGAGGAAAAGTTAGACACCAGTTTTAAATCATGTACATTTGACAGTCAAATAAGGTTTGCTGATTATGGTTATTCTTTCCAAGTACTTACAAGCTGCCAACAACAGGTCATCGTGCACACGAATCGTCCCGGACATAATGATGCCCAATCCAAATCCAGGGAATATGTATGCATTGTTTGCCTGCAGGTAGGAAGACAGAGAAGGGTTCAGCATGTTTTTGAGAAGAAAAATGATCATTTCCTATGGTGTGTGAGCCGCACCTGTCCTGGTACATAAACTTTTCCATTGTATTCGACAGGATCAAATGGACTTCCACTAGCAAAGATTGCTCGACCCTGCAGACAAAACAGCAATGAACATTTCAAAATTCCATACATGACAATCCAAGTCAAGGATTGAGCAGAAATTAAGCCCCATCAGATAAGAGTGAGAAGTCTATTTACCTCAGTCCATGTATATGCCTCCTCAGCAGTACACTCTGATTGTGATGTTGGGTTCGATAAAGCAAGAATGAGAGGTTTCTGAAAATAATGTATTGTCTTAAGCTTCATGACTGCAACAGAATAAAAAAACTGGGTAGGTTTTTTCCTTTATGAGAGGGAGAGAGAGAGAGAGAGAGATAACCTCATTTAACGATGCCATGGCCTCCACAACATCCTTGGTAAATGTTTTACCTACACCTGAAGTTCCAATCAGGACTGTCGGTTTGATTGCCTGGATTAAGAAGATAAATGAGATGAGATAATATCTGAATCATAAACGTAAGCTATCAATAGTAACAATTAATCAAAGCCAAATTCCACACCTTAACAGCATCTACAAGGTCCTTAATTGGTTCGTGATCATGAGCCCATGGCTTTTTGAAGTGCTGAAGGGATTCCTTACGAGAGCTAACAATCAGTCCCTGTCATGCGAATCAAGAAAGAGGTGAGTTCTAGACAAAATCATTCCACTAATTATCTAGTTCCTGGGATGGAACGACATGAGAGCATTACACAAGACAGGATCATATTCTTATTAATACCTTTGAGTCAACAAGCCAGATCTTCTTACGAACCTCTTCCAAAGGAACTTCCGTCTGCCAAAGCAAGAACCCCCAATCAAATACTTATAGTTTTAGTGCAGAAGTTCATATCTCAAAGGTTAATTATTACCTTCTTTGATATTTCAAGGGCTATGAGCTCTGCGATGCCAGTTCCAGCCTTCATAAATCAGAACAGAGGCCAAAGAACAGTTATGGGAAAAAAAGGGGGAAAAAAACCACCAAGTATTTGCAGTCAAAATCCAGGGGTAATGTAAATGCACTGATCATCATGAAGCACCACACCAATGATATTTATCCTAGAAACCTCAAATAAAGAAACATGAAGCATTTTCTCCAGTAAATCTTTGGTGAATAACTATCTCTTTGTAATTAGAATATCCTTTTAAAGAAAGAAAACCAGTATGAGTACTATGCATTCTATCCATGTTTTATTGTTTTGAACCATTTAATTTTATTTAAGGTAGAAACATTTTCCAGACAATGCAATAGAATGCATACTTGGTTTAGTGATTCAAACCGCACGCACATTTAGAAAGAGAAACACATTCCAGTTAAAAATGATGCAAAGAGTTAATAAAACCAAACATATTCACAGCATTTAAAACATTGAGAAAATGAGATGGGGTAGTTGAAGATTAGTTTTAAAATTTAACCAATGGAGAAAGAAAGTTGTAAATTACAAAATAGTTTTATGTTGTTCTTTGTGGCACAAGAAGGGACAATCTAGCATTATGTTACATCTTCCACGATAAGCACTTTGAATAGGATGCAAATATGATGGTTCCTCAAGACAAACAAAATACAATAAACTATATGAGTAAACAAAGTAAACAAGCGAAGCCTTACCTCTCCAGCACCCAAGAATAAGAAAGTATGATCAGCTAAATTTCCTCCCACTAGTCTTAGAGCAGCCACAAGGCCAGCTAGAACTACAGATGCAGTACCCTGCATAAAAGAGGCAGCTAAGCAATTCCAAGAAAGAGCGAGTACTTAAAACCTTTTAATGGGCTAGAAGTCCACAAAACATACCTGTATATCATCATTGAAGACAAGATGTGTTGTTCCATACTTCGTGAGCAGCTTAAATGCGTTATGATTTGCGAAATCTTCAAACTGGACAATTGTTACAATTTGTCAGGAAAAACAAGGAACCAAAAGCAGATACTTTAGAATCAGCAGTACTGAGAGTATATGACACATAGTTAAATATAAAAGGATGATGCATTCAGCAACAAACATGACAAAAATCTTAACATACCTGTACAAGAACTTTTTCCCCATAGTTTTGCTTGACTGCAGCCATGAACTCATCCAGAAACTCGTCATACTCCTGTGAACAGAAACAAAACTTCTAGATGGAAACAGAAAGCATTTGAAATACACTAATATCCATCCCGTGGTCTTCAAATTAACAACAAAAGTTCAACAAGGAGATCATGAGACCTGTCCAGTTGCCCTCCTTTGCCGCAGTCCAATATAGAATTCATCATCTAGCAATTGCTGATTGTTTGTGCCGACATCAAGAGTTATAGGCAGGCACTGTATATAAAACAAAAAAGTTTTAACACGTTTCTGGCCATGAGCATGAGAACAAACTACTGATCTCTAAAAGCAGGTGGTTTCAAAAATTGAAGTGCTTAGCGAGGTTTACTAATTTCGCTGATATACATCAAAACTGATGGCAACAACATCATTTTGAGCTCACTTCACATTAATGAGTTTTACATTAAATTTATGTGTATGTATTATTACTAATCAAAACTTTATTTATATTCAGAACGTTAATGCTCACAACAGAAGGGCGAACACCACCAAGGGCCGTGTACAGAGAAAGCTTCCCGACTGGTATTCCCATTCCCTGCAAATAGGTTACATACAGTCAATAGGGATAATTTACCACATAGAGACTTTGAATGAACATTCATTGAGAAAGGTACAGGTTGAATTTAAATTTCCAATACTTATTTTGCTTTGGTTTAAATGCAAAAGATCTAGAAAAACTTTACCTGGGTTCCAAGATCCCCAAGACCTAATATTCGCTCACCATCCGTCACAACAATAACTTGAATACTCCTCTCTGGCCAATTTTTCAGCACCTCAAGAATTTTCCCCCTGAAACCAGTACCATCCTAGTTAAGAGGTGTTTAAGACCCTAGGAAAAAGGAGTACAAATAAAAAGAAGCAGACATTACTTTTCTTTCAAGCTGATGTAAAGACCCTGTGGACGTCTGAAAATGCTCCCATATTTCTGACAAGCCTCACCAACTGTTGGAGTATATACTACAGGCAAGAGTTCCTCAACATTGTCGATTAGAAGCTTATAGAATAGTCTCTCATTTCGTTCCTGCAGATTTTGGGAAAAAAGGAGTTAGAACCAAAACCATGAAAAGAACAAGGCTGTGAGAACTTCCAAATATTTCTAAGAAGGTCCACCAAAAATTCATTCAGCTATGCCAGAACCAAACTTTGTGATAATTACTAATCAGAAAATCTTCCTATACAATTAATATGAGGAAACTTCTATAGCCTAACCATAACAATACCATTGATTCTAGTCATTTTAATGAGTCATAATGCATACAAAACTATCAAAAACAAGGTTTTCTCTTCAATAATATCACAGTAATTTGAACAAAATTTAAAATCATTTGCAAGAATTCTACACAGTTACAGATTCTTTGATAAGTTAGTAACATCTTTGGTACAGTTTGGACATTCAAACATACATGATCAGATTCAGTATCTATTCTTCATTCTCAGTTCTATAAACTTGTAATCATATATATCAGTAACTGATTCTATAAATAATAGATTCCAAAGTGGAGTAAGTACCTGGAGATCCATCATGGCCATGTATCTTTGCAAAGGCACCTTATAATTGCGAAGATTGTGCATCAATCTTTTTTCCTGTGTAGCAAAATCCAAGGGAGATACTGATTACGGTCTACTTAAAGTGTAAAAAATTGTAGAAACAGTAATTTCAGTGAAAAAGGTCCTTGGGGAAACCTGAAGCTCCTGAGGCATAATAACTGGAGGCAAAAGACCACGCAAGTAATGAGCATCTCGTTCTGCTTCAGTGAATGCAAGACCCTTGTTGTAGCGCGGGTCACGTAACAAACTATTGCCACTGTATCAACATAAAGAGACATTAGACATGGAAAGAAAAAGTTGGAATCTTACTCCTGTAAACTTTAATGACCACACATTTTAAAGTTGTACAATAGTAAGGCTTAATATCACGGATTTGCTAAGGATCACTCGTGTGGTGGATGAAGCAGTAATTTACAATGACAAGCAATGTAGAAAAGATTTACTAGTGATCCATGCAGTATAGAGCAGAGAGATACACAACGAATCCGAACATTTCAATGCAAAAATTCTAGTATATACCGTGCATGAATCCGATGTTTTAACAATCAAACAATTGGGTAAGTAAATTATGAGGACAATTTGAATTCCAAGAACTAAATACAGCATTTCAAGAGAAGGATCACCTGGCAACAGTGAAACTCCAAGGGGTAACAAGCTGATCCTCAGTGGCTCTATCCTCTCCATAGATGTCTTCAACACCTCCAGCAACACCACTTTTGTCACTCATATCAAGAACACTATCACCATTCCTCATCTCCTTCAACGTACTCTCCATTGCTTCTACACTGATCTTTCTCTCCCCTTTTCTCCGAAAACCAAATGCTTTCCTCTGCCAAGAACAGAAACTGAACAAAACAAACGAAAATCAGCAACGAACCCACAAACAAAATCAGTTCCCCCAAAACAAAAATGACCAAACATTCCAATACAACTAACCACTGACAATTCTAAAAAAAAAAATGCTCTGTCTACAAAAACTGCAAGAACCCACCTTTTATAACAAGCGTAAAACAACAAAGTTGAAGACTTTTTATGAAAAAAAAAAACCAAATCGGAATGTTGGACAAAATCCCACTTTTTTCAAAGTCCAAAAAGTGAACTTTTCTGGTAGCCGGGCTTGCTTGAAAATTTAGAAACAAAAGTGGTTTGGACAAATGTGAAGCGGAATTTTTGTACCAGAATAGAAAAATTGACACACGAGATTGCAGGCATTTAATTATTATAAATTTAGTAGTAATAACTAGTAATTAAATTACCAGAAAATGGGGTGTGAGTGCGTTGAATGAGAGCAACATGGTGAGAGCAACGTGTGGAAGAAAGGGAAACGGTAGTTGTTCTCCGCGTATTCGGATACAACAAAGTGACACAGTCGAGATTTCCACATTTCTTGGGGGCCAACTAATTTTGGGAATTTTTCTTTGCTTCTCTTTACCCAATCAGATTTGGAAGCTCTTCTTTTTGTTAATATTTTATTAGTACTCTCATCCGTTAGCTGTGTTTCTGTCACTGTTGAGAAATCTTATTATATTGCACACACTGTTTGCACACACTTTTTCTTATTTTGGAGAAATAAATCTAATTTTATTTTGATTCGTTGGTAGATTGGTCAACGTAATGTGGCAAAATTTGGGTAGTTTGGTTGAAAAATTATTGGGTACAGCTATTGTATTCTGGTTTTAATGCAGCAAGTACTAGCACCTTCTAATTTGGTGGTATAACTCTCGTAAAAATTATCTCTCCCCCCAAAATTACTACTTTACACTTATTATTGTGTCATAATTTTTTAGATTGGTTAGCTAAAAGATGAAATAAATTTCAAGAGAAGGATAGCTAATTCAAAAGAAATATGGGTTGTTCTGGTTTAGAGTAATCCTCCTCATTGTAGGGGATCAATGGAACTTAAAACGCTGTCTCTAGCAAAATTTTAGGGTTTAAATTGAGGTTAAATGCAAGAATAAGGAGTGGTCACAAATTTCTTTGGTTTAAATATTGAAAGTATATTACTTATTGAGTTTCAGAAATTAATCATCTTTCTGCCAGAGACAACAAAAATAATACTCGTTTATTAATAATTTTTTGGGTTTATAATTTGCTTGTCCTAGAGAAATTTAATATTTATTATTATTTAAAGACGACATTACATTCATACTGTTTGAATATTTCACTGGATCAATTTTTTATTTTTTAAAAAAATAAATTACATACAAAGGAGGTAAAAATATACTTATATAACTACACTAAGGGACACACAACATCTTAATATCATCATGATCGTCGAGTCTAAACTAAGGGAAAAACTTCATTGGACTTAGAAAAAACAAAACTTTCATGCATTGTTGAGTTTTGACTCCTTTATAATGCGAGACAAACGAAAGCCGGATCTTCTATTATTTATTTGCGACCTAATTGATCAACCATATTACAAACAAATAATAAAGCAAAGCAAATAATACTAGTATATACGTAGTTATTAAAAATATACACAACAGGAATGCATGATATTATTAGGGTCTTCCACTCTTTCTTTGAACCCAAACACAAACACAAAAGTAAGTCAAAGCTCCAAAACCATTCAAATATATACCCGATGAAAGCACAACACTATAACAACATACCTGTTGCCCCCCTTCACAGAGACACAGCAAAGCTTAAGACCTCTAGCTAGTAGGAGTATATTTTTTGTAAAGCTTGCACGATGAAATTTTTAATGGGAGAAAAGGGCATAAAATCAAACACAAAGAAGGGAAGAAAAGGCTGCAAACTGAATCATATATATAGTGATCTGTGTCGATATCTAAACCCTAATTGGCATTATAAATAGGAAACAATTAAGCTTTTCTTTAGGTCGAAGAAATACCAATTTCTGTTAAACTTGCTATTTCCTTCTTTATTTAAACATTGGTGCATGACCATCCAAAACGGCAACCTTCTTTATTTCATGTACTTGCCCATTAATTAACCAAAAATTATTTTAAGCAAAGGCAGGAAATTCGTTCTTTTATTTCCTTTACTTTTTTCCCCACAACGCGCAACTTTTAAAAGTGAAATCATTATTTACCGTTCTATAATTTTTTAAGTAGTTGATTTGATTTGATTTTTTTTTGTGGGGGAAATTTTCATGTTGACATGTTAAAATAAAGTCCTTTTTTTTTAATCGCAATTTCTCTTAAGGTTTTTCCCCCTTTTCTGCACCATTTGCCTGTTCACTATGAAGAATTAATTGTCGGTCAAAAGGTATTGGTAAATTCTCAAATGACAATTGACAAACGAAGGGCAAAACGTAATTAAACCATAAAAAAAGGGCAAAAAACAGTTAAGGGAAAAACACTCTCATTAGGATTTAGGATGAAGATATTGTGCCTAAAGTTCATAATGAGAGTGCGCATGGCACAAATTGTTTCATCTAGCAATGATCCCGTTCGGATACATGGTAGTTTAATTACGGTGATTTTGGAATTGTTACAAAAAAGATTAGTTAGTTTGTCGAGTTTGAAATATGTTTATAAAAATATTAATTTTATGGTAGACATTTTAAGTACATGTTTTTTTGTTGACTTACATTCGTAAATTAAACAATTATTTAAATTATAACAGTGGTTAAAACACGACGTAATGTCGGTATTATTTATCAGCGATACAACTGGTTATTCATGTATTTCTTCATTCTAAAAAAAACACACACACAAGAATTGGAGTACCAATACCTCTTCACATACCTGTTGCCGTTGACATTACTCATCTTTCCTTCACAGTGACAATGACGCCCTCTTGAATGTAGTTTGCACAATTTCGTTAATTTTCTTTCTCTCTGTGTCTTTTTTTTTTTTTTTTATGACCTTTTCAATGGGAGAAAATGGGCATAAATGATACTAGTAAAACACGAAGAAAGAAGAGAAGGCTGCAAACTCGATCCAAGCCGTACCATTCTGAATCATCATGCATGCCCTGCATAAATATATATAGTGATTTGATTACAATAGTTAGGGAAAATGCTTTCCTTTTGATTGAAGAAATACCATGATGCTAAACTTGTATATTCCCTTCTTAATTGAGACATTGGTGCTTGACCTCCAAAATGACAGACCTATTTTTTTTTAGTATTTTTTTATTTGCCCAAAAGTTTAACCAAATTTTAAGCAAAGGCTACAAAGGGGCCCTTCATTCTTTTCTTTCCTTTATTTTTTGCACCACGAATAAGAGGGTGCGAAACTGATAAAACTAAAATAAAAATTAATATATGAAACTTCTTAGTAATTGATGTGTTATCTCCCTACATTACAAATAGGCTGCATTTTCTTCAAAATACATATCTATTGTCATTATGCTACAAAAAAAAAAAAAAAATTGTGAAGTACACGTAAGTTGTGTTACTAAGGTAGGAGTAATAATTTAAAAAGGCACACACTGATTCACATAAATAAATTTGTTTTGGGAATAATTATAAGTTCTGTAGTGAATGGTTACTTTTGGGGAGAGGGAAAAATTTCAACTCATTAATTACACACGAAGAATATTTTTTGCAGACTCTATTTTGAAATCTACCTTGCTTTGATTAGTGAGAATAGGAGGAGGAGTTAATTAAGCAGCCACGCCACTAAAAAAATAGGTGCAGATAAATTTGTCAAATTCTAGAATGTACTACTAGTACATTGTTACCCCCCTACAAAGTTCTCTTCAACCATCAACAAATTGTGAAAATCGAAGAAAAATCAGAGAGATGATTATAATTATAACATTATGAATTTTAATATTTTCTGAGCCTTTTGTCCTAAAATGATTTTGTAGTTTAAATTTGTATTTTTTTAGTTACTAAAAGTTAAAAATTTAAAACGGACATTTATTTTAGAAAAAATACTCCCTCCATTCCATTATAAGTGTTGTTTTAGCAAAATAGAGAAATTCTAAAATAAGTGTCGTTCTCACGTTTTAATGCATTTTTTGTCAAAAATTTTCAAAATTACCCTCAAAAGAGTTGATGCTATTGGTGGACAATTTCATAATGGGATTGGTTGAGAATATTCAAGTAATTTTATTATCCTATTTAAGAGTTTCTTAAACTATGTGCAAAGTGTAGGACGACACTTATTTTGGAGTGGAGAGAGTAACAAAGATACATTTCCATTCACAAATTAAAACACATTTTTTTCACCTACGAATATATATTAGTATTTTCAAATGTGCTATAAGGATAACCTAACTAATGATAACATGTAATAATCTAATTATAATCAACAATTAAAAAATAGGCTGGTATATATATATATATACATTTATTTAAGTATTGTATGGTACCTTGAATTCAAACACAACATTTTTTGTATTTGGTTATTAAGACTTAAAAAGGGTAAACTAATTGGCAGTTGTTGTTTACCTGATGAGTAAAAGGAATAAAAACACAAAGAAGAGAAAAAGGTTTGATATATATTTGAAAACAGCGCCAATAACTTTTGTTCCAGTTTAGGAGAAAAATGAATAGTCTCCCAGACTTAGCTAGGGTTTTAGCTTTGGGGGAAAACAAATTTTGAATTCTAAAAGCTTCTATCCATTCGCTCTCTGGAATTACTCCATGGATCTTCGTCCTCGACACAGAACTACCTTTTCTGGTTTTACCAGTGCCGAGGTTTAGGTTTTTCCCCCATTTTTATTTCCTGATTGTTTTTTTTTTTTTTTTTTTTGGTGCAATTTTTCCTTTTGGGGGGCAGGGGATGGGAAGAGTTCCATTATTTTTTAATAAGCATCTGGAATTGGATAACAGAGGCAGGATGATTGTTGAATTGAATGGAGTTCTTGTTTGTTTCATCTCCAGTAGCCTTCAGGTCCTTTGAGAAAGATTTCAAACAGAACTTAACAGTGCTATAGAATTGCCTGCCTTTTCTTTTTTTTGTTTTCCCTGTATATATATATTTCAGTCTACATAGTTTGTTAATCTTTCCCTAGATACATTGTACGCTTATAAGGCTTGATTTTATCCATTTGTGTGCGTATTCTTCGGAATACTAGTTATTTCAATGCTGCAAGGAATTCACCTGGTGCTGAATTGTCTATGGAGTAGTTATTGACTCCTAAAATGTGTCATGTGCTGTACAATTTGAGGTTACTAATTCACTGCAGCTAAATAAATTTGTGATCTTTATCGGTATTAACAAAAACAATCCCTAATTTTAAGGTTGTTCTGATTTTTTATCAATGTGTGTAATCAAATGACAGGGATGACAACAGCATAAAGAAACCGATTTCTTGTAAAAGTAATGCAGCGAATGTGTTCAGTTCTTAAGCTCCATATGTAGGAATATATAGTTACTGAGTAGGTTGTTTATCATTCATTCTTCAGGAATATGGGAAGGGTATACAATTGATTTTTTAATTTGTTTCTGGTTGAACCATGAGTTTCAGGTTACGTTTAATTCTCACTGAAAGATCATTTGATATGTACACATAGAAGGCTTAATCATGAAAACTGTAATTATTTTTCACGCTTAGTGGGCATCATGTCTCATCTTAGTCAGTTATTTTTGTAATCAAAATGTTTGCAAACCTGTTTCACCAAAAAACTTCTGTTCAAAGTTACCATTATATTAAATTCCCTATGTTGAATGCTTGGACAATATTTTGGTGAATCATCAATTTGAAGTGCATTTCTTGAATTACCGACAGTAGCGACATTCATTCTCTGATATATACTTAACTAGATTGAGAAAATGGAGCATTTGCTTAGAGATGGAAGGGAGCAGTTTTTGGATCCAGAGTTCTGTAAGAAGCTGGCAAGAGCTTTTAAGTATGCCACGACTCTTTTGTTACTTTAGTTGACATGGTGATAGTGATGCAAATGCTTTGTGAATATTAACTTCCACCTAATACTAAAATTGCAGTTCTTCTAAAGGTCGCACTGGAAAACCAGCTGTGAAGTGGACAGAGGTAGTCCCTTACACCTTCTTCTAAGTTTTACAACCTGCTCTCTGCCATTTGAACTTATTTCAAAGCCACTTTTTAATGATGGGGCATTTGGTAGGTCCAAAATTGGTTCCAAAATAACCAGCAACAGCAAACGGACCTCCCTAAAGATGCTCCAGCCGAACCTGTGACAAAAGGACCTCCTGTTTCAGAGGCTGTTGAGGATTCAAAAATGCCAAAAGGTACGCTTTTAGAATCAAATGCCCTGCGCTGATTTATCTTGTATTCCTTAGCTTTTGAATGTTCTCTGGAAGCAGATAGTTGCATGCAAGATTGGAATAATGTAAAACTGTATACATACTGTTGCATATTATTTATTCTAAGGTTTTCTGAGTGATGCATTATTTGGGATTAATTTTTATGCATTTTGGAAAATTACTTTGAGAAAGCTAATGTTTTACATAATGGTAGTGATTTTTGAAAGTATATTGAATTTTCGTAGTATTGTCACAGCAGATAAAAAGGATTCAGATCGCAGAAAGCTGGAATTCGAGGCACAATCAGCTTCAGACGGAGCATGGTAATCTGGTCTTTTAGTAGAGGTTTTTGTCCCTTTTTTTGTCTCTTTATTTTGTTTCTTTATAATTAGGAATGCAGCCTGTCAATCTTTAATAATCAAAAAGGTGGTTTGTTACCTTGTATTCATTGACTGGATGGACAGATACTGTTCGTATACTAAGGCACTTCCCAATTGGATATCAGAAGTTTTTGATTGCTGCCTTTAATTGTGTTATTATGCATATGGTGAAGAATGTTGCAGAAAATTGTAATGCTATTGTGTTGTGCACCTGAGTATAGTGGATAAGTTGACTATTGAGTACATTATCTAAATGTTTGTAAGGTTTCGCACTGTTGACTTCTCTACGTATAAATCTCGTGCAATAGTCATTAGGTGAACTTCAAAGTTGACTATTGAGCAACTGAGTATAGTGGATAAGTTGACTATTGAGTATATTATCTAAATGTTTTATTAGGAAAGACTGTTCTGTATGCAAATTTATGATTGCTGAAGCTATGCTTTCGGCACTATTTACATTTTCATGAAATGCTAGTTCCATCTGCATGGTAGAGTTGAAGTGCAAGGTGTATTTTCATCTAAGATTTGCTTTACCTTTAACCTTCTATAGGTATGACATCGAGGAGTTTATGGGACATAGATTTCTGGATTCAGGAGATGCAGTAAGTACCTAAAGAAAATCTCATCCTCCCACAACCTTGATATTAAGTGAATATTTTTGCCATGTAGTTTGCTGCTATGGGCGATTTTCTGTTTGGTGACACCACATATTTTATAGGAGTTTTAGCTTTTCACAGCCTTAATGCAACCATTTGGCTATGATGCTCCACATTATTTCTGCCACCAAAGTGATAAGTTAGAATCTCTGAAAGATTTGACCATTCTTCTCATGTTTGATGGCTTATAATTCATGCAGGAAGTTCGTGTTAGATATGTTGGATTTGGACCTGATGAGGATGAATGGGTAAATGTGATGAAAGCAGTCCGTATACGGTCTATTACTTTGGAAGATTCTGAATGTCACAAAGTTAAGGTTGGAGATATTGCACTGTGTTTCCAGGTACCATTACTTATTTCTCTTCTGTGTTGGTGATGGAGCTGGGTAGAGAGTAAGAGCAAGATAACTTTTTACCATACTCTTAAGGTTAAATGGGAGCAGATTATAGTGTATTCTGAACTCATTATTTACTGAGTGAATCCTTGGGGAAGAAGCTTATATGCTACTCGTCATTAAGGGTAGGTGTGAGAGGGAGGAGAAACAACTTTTGCATCTCTTGCTCCAGTCAAACCAATCTGTGGACACACATTTACGCTTATTACTTTGTCTTCTAATTTCCATCAGGAGCGAAAAGATATAGCGAGATATTTTGAAGCTGAGATCATAGAGATTCAGAGAAGGGTACATGACATGAGAGGTTGTAGATGTCTTTTCACAATCCGATACACTCATGATAACATGGAGGTACTTATATACTGTCTGCCACAATTGGTGAATAGTCATTTTGTTGTTTGTGGGTTACCTTTACATCTACATGCCATTGTTGGTTCACTCAGCTCACTGCTGCTGTGATTTCATTTCATGTTGCAGGAAAAAGTCCGATTGAGGAGATTGTGTTTTCGGCCAAATATATTAGCAGGATCTCAAGAAACAGTCAAAAAGTAGGTTGTTAGTGATGTGATATACGTGTTAACGTCATTGATGAAGGGAGATGCCTTAGCTTTTGGTGAATCCAAACGACTTCCCCTCCCTCCAATTTTGTCAGGCTGCTGTATAGTATACTAAGTAGACTCTGCAGACGGCAATATGATTCATGGACGATAGGTGTCTGTCTTACCTAACAGACTAATCCGTGAGAGGCTGAAATTTTTATGTAAAGCATTTGCGTTTGCTGTGTATTTGTCAAAGGACAATAACGTCACAGCAGTGTTATGTAAGCGAATTTGTCATGATATATATATATATATATATTTATATATTTTTTATATTTTGCAGTCTCATAACGGGGAGTAGCATCAAGAAAAATTTGTTTTGCGGGGTGTCAGTTTCTCAACAGGACAGGAAGCACATGAAATTGACTAGGAAGCCATTAACTGTAAACAAAAGGTCTATAGGTTTCCCAACGAGCAAAACAAACAAGAATGGCTTTCTTTTTTATTAAGTTTGGCACAAGAATTCAATCAAGTGCCAGACAAGGCGAGCAAAAATTAGGATCTCTTCAGCAGATGAATTGCAGACAGACAAATCAGAATCTAATTCTAAAATAATACCACGCAGCAAACTCAGCGAGAGAAACTTCGTGTATGAATTTAACAACCTCAGATCCATTCTCATGATCAACAGGTGTCCAAAATCTCAAGGAAAGAAATCTATCTAGCAATATTTAGACATCTTGGTTACTACTAATAGCCAGTCCTACAAGGCCATAAATAGCACATTTGGTAGAATGTGGCTGATGATTATTTGTTCCGAGACTACTATACATACATTCACCACAACCTAAACTACCCAATGTTGAACATGTTAATTTCTGAAAAACACTTCATCCACTTGACAAAAAGTTCGACCATCAACCTCGGTCCTTGTGGCTGGACTCCTGAACATGTTACAAAACCCTAGAGGATGGTGAGTCGCCCAGTCAGAACAGAACACAGCGGCTTTTGATCTACTTTTCATTAGGCTTACAGGCCAGAGTAATTACACCACCCACCTGCAATCGATTCCATCATAAACTTGTGATGCTTCAGGAAACAGTTCGCCCATAACAAACAGATGCTATGTAAAGGTTTTTAGCCCATTTTTCCTGCGAAGAGAACAAAGTAATGGTTAGTACCGACAGATTATAAAGCTGGAATACTTAAAGAAGGGGATAAACAAAGAAACCTTCACATGATTGCTTGGAAAAGCTGAAGTCCTGAGTGTCTCTTGTGTCTCGTCAGAGGGCTTTCTTCTAGGAACACTAAGAACAAAAGCAGCTTGATCCCACGTAGCAGCAGTAGCTGTGATGCGATACCCAGAATCCCATCTCCGGTGAATACCTTCACTGGGGTACAAAAAGTCTAGTTCCACAACCTGAAACAAAATAAAGCACAATTCAGAATACTGAAGTGGACATTAAAAGTTAGAGGTTCACAAGGACCAGAGCTCCCAAAAACCTGATCAGAAAATCCAGCACCACGGGACATAACAATTGCCCATCTAGTTCCCGCAGTTGCCATTGCTGTGACATAGAATCCCTCCCTCCATTTCTTGTTAATCCATTTGAAAGGGAATGATTCACTGACTTTATAAGACTGCTGCAGATACTGAGTACCTGAGTTCAAAAGAAACAAAGCACAGAGATAAGAATATTACAACTAACTCCGGATGCCATCTTGAATTCAGAAGGGGGGAAAAGAAACACAGAAATTGTACTAACCTTTTGACATGACAACCAGGGAGCTCCCATTATTTGCCCCTGCTATGGCACTAATGTAAAAATTCTTCTCCCATTGTTCCATAATCCATTCCTTACAAAAGCGAAAAACAGGAAGCATAAGTTTTATCGAAATAAAAACCAAAGAACACATTTTAAACATGAACAGTTCGATTGTTCCAATCTTAAAAGGTACACCAACATACCTTGTGAAGGAAAAAAGGTGATAGTTCATAAACTTGAGCAGTAAACCCAGTGCCTGCATCCATTATCAAAGCCCACAAATTTGAGCAAGAGGCCACACTACTGATAAATAGACCATCCTCATTTCCTTTATCAATATGTTGAGAAAGTCTCATGTCCGCAACATTATAATGATACCTACCACAAATCAAAACACCAGGTCATTCTAACTTTATCACTCAAGATTGAACCCTGAGAGAATGATTGCTATAACCAAATACCGTTGCTTCATAGGGCGACGAGCGTTGTAAACACTAATCCATTGTGTCGCAGGCATTCCCATTCGGACTTTCTTCTTTGGTTGTTCATCATCATCATCTTCAATAGTCAAACGCCCTCTCTTATGTCCAACTTGGAATATAAGCTTCACAAAATGAAAAGAAATGTTAGGAACAACCAATGACTCTCTTACTTGTTGCATTAAAGAAAGTTCCAAAATATTTTAAAAACACCTTTTGAGCACCATCAGTATTGATAGGCCTAATGTCGGGATTGGGGCCCACTATACCATCAAACAATGATATGTACTTTGCATAGTTTGGCTCCTCATCAAACTTCAAGTTCACCACATACTCCACAAATTGCCGGAACGGTGAAGGACAGAAACAACACAGTGTATCCGGAGAAGTTGCCATCTTCTTTTTGCATACGAGGAAGCCTTTATTCTCGCCCTATATAATGATCATGTAAGCATCACATACAAATAGAGATTCCTAATAACAATTATCAAATAAGCGTAGCAACAACTAACCTGGTATCCTTGCCAGGGCAGCCGACCACGAAGAAGAAAGATGAGGGTGTATGCAAGTGACTCAAGATCATCGCGGCGACTCCCAGTCCTTCCAAGATGCGCATGAACACTAGCATATCGCACTGTTCCCCTGCAAATTCACAGTTGTCATTGTAATGCCAAAAATTTATGAATGCAGGCTCAGAATGGGACAGAATAAAAAGTTGCGGAAGATACCTAAAAACATCTGGTCTCTGATCATAATCAACATGTAGGCCAGTTGAACTATCACGCCATCGAGTAGCTGAAATGCAAAAGGAATCCAAAGGGAAAATTAAAGCTTGATACTTGCCTACATAAAGAGGGTCACAATGAAATGTTGGTATAAGGCATAAGATATTTACCAAGTCCCAAATCAACAAGAAACAACTTCTTCTCGTCAGGTGTGCCCGGCGGACCAAGCAAAAAGTTTTCTGGTTTGACATCTCCATGGACGTATCTGCAAATTCAAAAATTAAATATAGGCACACTAAGTCAACATGGTATCAGACATTTTCTGGCCGATGAAAATCAAGCTGCTCAGATCTTACTTCACTTCAGCCAGATATTAATTGGCACCAACTTAATATTATCATCAAAAGAAACAAATAAAACAAACAGCATGCACCAAGCCAACATTAGAAACACATTCTATAAAACATAATAAAGGTTAAAAATAAAATGCTCCCATCCCCTGCCAGTGAAGCTTTAGAAGCCATCATACTAGACTACATCTGAAAAACACCAACACTAAACGCAAAATTCTACTTCGAGCATTTGACAAATAAAATACAAGAAAATTACCCTCTCGAGTGTAACTTCTCAAGTATGGAGATAGCTTCAATGGCAATACAAGCAACCATCTCAATAGACATCCTGCAATGACAACAAAATGTGTTTATACAATAGCCAAGTCAAAGAAAATAAGCACAAAGAACGTAAACATTGTAAGAAATTCAGGTAAACAAATAACCACTAACGTGTGAGAATTGTTGTTCCAGACATCCCATAAACTCGGACCAAGCATATCCATAACCTGGCAAAATGAAAAGTTGTGAGTAAACTCAAGAGCAGGAAGTGTAAAACTGTGACAACAAATGTATCACCGAACAACATACCATAATATAATAGTCATTTTGCCTTCCCTTGTAATGCACACGTGGTATGCCATGACTACCACCTAAGGCACTGAAGTATAGGAAAACAAATAAATTCATCAACATTTGAACTATTATATCAAAAGAAATAAAATAACTATAAATATAAGCAAAAAATACTCACTTGTAGACTTGCCATTCATACGGTGGTCCATAGTTGCAACCTTTGCTGCTTCTATGCTCAAATTTCAACGCCACCTGAAAACAGAGGTTCAACGATCAGCTTCCAAGCATGAGAACTAGGAATCACAATGCAGCAATCAGGCAGAGATTACTAGATACTATACCTCAACGGCATTAGGCCCGGTTCTCTCTAGCGGGTTTGGTGGATTAATACGCCGACCAACATACACCTGTCCAAACCCTCCTTTGCCTAGTTTCCTATCAATTCTATAAGCTGGTGAGCCAGTGACCTGGACCTGTAAATGCCAAAAAAAAAAAAACAATTCTTTATAGCTCAGTTTGATTACTAGTTCACAAATAATGTAAACTAAAAGATACAAAACACAAGATAAATGCACAAACAATTCTTTATACCAAAACAATACAACTAAAAGACACAAAACACAAGATAAATGCATAACTTTTAATAACAGAATATCCACGATTCAACCAATATACCGGGCAGCTAATGCCTCTTAGTTAGTCAGGTCAACAGACCATCATTTAGACCAAGCCTACTGAGACCGGCATCAACCACAGAGAAAAATAAAGATAGCACAATGAAGATTCTATCTAATCTCACACAATCACCCACATGAAAATCCGCACACACCAAATTCTCCTCTGCAGTGGAAACCAAGCAAATTAAAGTTATAATTAACAAAACAAATGGTCAAGTTTATCCAACCATGGGAGTACAACCAACACTGATACAGCACAAAGAACACCAACATAAAGTGGAAAGCAGCATCAGAATGCCAAAAAAATGTAACCTTTTCGGGAAGGGGAGCAGTGCTGCCTTCGTCCTCAGCTCCCAAACCCTTGTCACCACTGCGGCCTCCGCTGTCATACTCATCCATTATTTCTTTTTCCCCAACCTCTTCCTGTAAGTTCAAATTAACTCCCTCTCTGTTCTCGTCGGCTCCTTGTCGTTCACCAGAGGACGCTGTTTCCTTCACAGCATTCTCATCCCCTTGGTTACCCTCCACAAACTGTTCCACTCCCAGAGGCTGCTCCTCCGCCTCCTCTTCCCTCCTGGAATTAGTGGTATTATTATTATTAGTTCTCCCTCCGGCACGTTTCTGTCGAGTATTCCTGACGGCTCGCTTCGCCGGCGCGGCGGTTCTCTTGTTAGACTTCCGGACGGTCTTGTTCCTCTGCTGCTCCGGCGCAGAAGGTTCGGACTTGTTGTTGTTGACGACGGCAGTACTACGGCGGCCTCTTCTCACTCCGCTACGCAGTTGAGGCATAGCGATCGTCCATCAATTCTTCTTCTTCTGCTTGCTCCAATTACCTAATCCGACCTTCATCAATCTCTGTATCAATTTTATCCTTAACCTAGAAATCAGCTAGGGCACAGAACTGAAACAATAAAAAACGAAAAAAGCTCGCTGCGTATAAAATCGAATCGAGTTGATCGGCAGCAAATCGGAATTGGATGAGAATGAAATTAGGGTTACAAGATTGGGGAGAGATCTGAAGTGAAAAATAATCAGACGAATGAATGAAAGCCGATGGGGAAATTAAAAAAAAAAAATTGATAAATAAAAAAAAAGAAAATTGAGTTAGTATTACTTTACTGAAGAGAAGAAGGAGAAGAAGTGACAAATTGGGAAGCTTTTTGGTAATTTTACGTAGGCGTACGTTTAATTTTGTTAAAAGGGAGTAATGAGTGGTCGACGTGGGGGGTTATGATTGGGTGAGAGTAGAGGAGATCTTGGTTTTACGGTTTTTTGGGCTCAAGAGCGTCATTTAGAGTGAGAATAAAAAAGAGTGTTAGTATATCCTTTTACCCTATTAAAGCAGAAAACAGGATGCTGATGTGGCAATTTCTTATTAAAAGATTTTGGCTCCAAATGCACCATATTGCATAAACCATTCTGCCACGTGTCACCTCCTTTTAAAAACAAAAAATATATTTACAATATTAACAAAGAGATCAGATGGCCATGTTCATTCAAATTTTGAATTTGACAGTGAATGGAACTTTCCTTCTCCACTTACTTAGGACTTTCTAAAAAATTAATTTTCGATCAATCAATTATCTTCATCAAAAACTAAATTCATTCCGAATCAGTTTTGATTATTTACATATTAATTTATTAGGTGGGAGGACGCCCCGGGCATTTGCCCGGGACAAGCATCTAGTATGTAATTATATGGAAATCGAGGAGTTTAGGGCCAAATGGGAGAAGGTGACAGGTCATGTTTGAGGATAAGTGGATTCTTTGGGGCCGTGGATTTGGTTTTTTCTTTTCTTTTTTATTTACTTTTTTTTTTAAGATTGGGGGGGGAAGAAGAAGGAGCTAGGCCATGGTAGGGTAACATGGGGTGCGGGTGTGTGGGGAAAATATTCTAGAATTTATTGTCATATGGTAGTAGTAAAAAGTTGTTTTGTGTGAATATAGTGACGCAAGAGGAGAGAACTCAAAATATGTTTGCGTACGTTATATGTGTACAATATGATCGATGATTAAAACATGACGCATTTTGTATTGAAACATACATTTTGTGTGCGATTGTATGATCAAAAAAATAACTCTTTGCTTGATAACCAAGTGATTTCGCCACAATTATTGTTTCATATATAATCCATCTATTCTATTCTGAAATAAGGGGAAAAAAACTGATTTTTTTACTATTTTATAAAACGATCACTTTTCACTTTTTATTTAATTTTTTATGTTTTCTATTTCTTTTTACTATTTTTCATAACCACAAAAATATATTATACGATCTTTTGAAAAAATAATTTATTTTTAAACACTACTGTACAAATTTATAGATATACATATTTATAATTCATGGTTGATTTATATAAACATATTATTTTTTTATTAATATGGCTAGACAATAATGATATTATTTTTTTAAATCCGTTTTTTTTCAATTTAAAGAATAAATTTTTTTTGGACTAAAACTAATTTTTTACAAAAAATTAAAACATTTTAGCATAGATTAAAAAATAACATGTTAGTATATTTTAATTTATTACAAATTAACTAGACAGACTATAGATTGTATTATCCAATTAAAAAAATAATTAAACTAAAAATTATCTAATAATATATCCTATATTTTAGTTTAATTAGGATGTTGAGTTTCATGAGACTATATATAAGATTAATTCTCACCAAATGATTTCTAACCGAGAGAGTATTTTTATTCACATTTAAACGGGGTTCACTAAAGGTGAGAGGGTTGAGTTGGATGCTTAGGTGATTTGAGATATGAGATGATTATTACTGTGTTCGAGATCTCGATTCTCACTGGGGTCATCCAAATTTTTTTTTTAAAGGTGGAGTTGAGCATTGGAGTAGATTTTTTTATTTTTTAAAAAAAGATTTCCTGCTAAAGTTAGATATATTAATATCTCAAAAAATGTTAAACCCTCGCAATGATAAATATACATATTAAAATATTTTGTAACATTTTTGCAAATGCCACGACACTATATTCTTGTGTTAGGCCAATAGAAATGAAATAGGTTTTTTTTTTTTTAGCTTTCTGTTAGTACTTGGCCTTTTAAAAAAATTTATATTTTAATTTTAATTATTTTTTAATCTTATAATATAATCTAAAGTCTATCGAATTAAATTTTAATTCATTAAAGTATACCAATAAATTATTTTTTAATCTATGCTAATTTTTTAATTTTTTTCATGTAAAATTAATTTTAGTTAAATAGTCTTATTATTTAGATTGAAAAAAATGAATTAAAAATAGTATCATTACTGTTATACCATATTATTAAAAAAGTAATATGCTTATGTAAATTAAACATGACTTACAAATATGTAATTATAAATTTTTACATTAGAGTTTAAAAATAAATAAGTTTTTTGAAAGATCATATAGTATATTTTTATAGTTATGAGAAATAGTAAAAGGAAATGAAAAACATGAAAAATTAAATAAAAACTGAAAATAGACTGTTTTGTTATTTTTACAAATTTTTTGTGTCATTTTTATAATTTTAAAACTATTAGGGTATTTTGTAATTAAAACAAACATAATTCTGTTAATTAAGATGGAAATTAGCTAATTAGACAAAATCGGGTAACGGTTGGATAGCGTAGGATAATATTGGCTAACCGAAAAAAAAAATATAGTAGAATTGACAACGTATGTAAAGTTTTGGGTAGATCGGCTAACTTTTTCCTGAAATAAGTATCGTTTTTTTATTTCAATGCACTTTTTATCCGAAAGTTGCAAGAATTCTTCCAAAGAATACTACTACCTCCATTCCGATTTATAAGAGGTTTTAGACATACTTTCTTCATTTCTTTTTATAAGAAGTTTTATATTTTCAAAAAAGTAATTAATGACTTTTTTCCTTTCTTTGCCCTCACAACTTACCATTCCAAATATATATATATATATATATATATATATATATTGGTTAAGACCAATCCAAATATTAATTCAACTACTTCATTAATGTTATGAAGGACAATTTGGAAAATCTACAATAATTTTGAGACAAAGAACTAAATTTTGTTAGTTTTATTAGTTTGTGTAAAATTAGTTAACTTCATCTTATAAATAGAAATGAGTAGTACTAATAACAAACACTTGATTTAGTATGGAGGGAGACAGGGAGTACCTCTAACAAATCAGAGATCCAAGTATATAGAAGAAATAATGTTCCTATAATTACCATGTTCTTTATACATGAAGCCTGATTATTAGTCTTATATTAACTGTCCTAATTGTTGGAGTTATATAGACTTCAACCACTTATGGCCAGACCCTGTACTCTTATTTTTCTTCACACTTTGTGGCACTTAATAAAAAGTGATTTATAAAAGTTTTGAAACAATATGTTGGACTTATAACAAATTTATAATTAGCGCCAAATGATAAACAAGAACATAATTTAACAAACAGTGACGCAACAGTTCATAAATGAAAACCCAAAAGAAAACAATGAAAGTAAATTAATCCAAACATATTTGTTATTAGGCCCAAGTATTTCTTGAATAATTAGCCCAGTCGCTTAAGTGGTCCATCTGTCACGCCAAACCACATCATCTAGAATTTTTTATTCATTGTCTCTCTTTAGGACTCAAAGCCCAAGTTCGTTTACCCAAATTAGGCCTAATTAATGCTCCGGGGTTACATGTTTTGTCAATACCCCGGCTGAAACACTAGAAAAGTTAGTTATAGATTGGCCTAACTCAACTCTAGCTCAATGAGTGACTTTTGTAATCTAAGTTTCGGCTTCTTGGGTATATTAAAAAAAAGAAAAGAAAAAAGCCCAAATTTGTTGCGTCTTTTGACTTTTTTTTTTTGCAACTATTGTTTTTTGACCTTTTCCTTAACTCTAGCCCAACCATTTGAAAATTTCCAAGCATTTCGTCCAAAGATTATGCTCTTGTTTTACTCCCCTGAAATGTTTTTGTTTAATCTTTTCACCAAATACTAACAGTAGAGGAAAATTTGTGATATAGAACATTAATCTAGGTACTGAAATCATTTTTTATTTGACACTACTCATATCACATGTAATTTCGAAAGCTATAATAATCTCTTGATGAAAAGAAGACGTGTTATACGGGATGACTAATGTCAAAGTTGTATGATTTAAATTTGGAATTATGACTCTTCTGTCATAGCAGAAAAAGGAGGAGGATAAACATAACGAGGTACATAACTTCTAACCAATATGTAAAGATTAGAAGTTGGTAATTTTTGTTTCAAGAATAAATAAAAAAAAAGTGGCAAACAAACAATAGTTGTTACAGAGGAATTGATTTGTTGAAATTAAAATGTGCATGGAGAAATAAATTTTGTGATATGTTTCTTGGTATTGTTAAACGTCACTCATTACATTTATTGGATTCATTATACGTACGAGTTAAATCGTGATTACAATGTGGCATGCAACAATTAATTTTAATATAGTCTATCAAATGTCTACCTTCTTTGTATATTATTATGTAAAAAAAAAGAAAGCATCCTTAACAAAATAATACTAATCTCTCTCTCTGTGCCATGTCACTCCATCATTTAATGATAATATTTTAATATAAAATCACAAATTTGTAGATAAGACTAAATTACTTAAACAACAAAACAAAATGAAAAAAAAGGTAAAATTAACGACAGCTAATATTATGATTACAAAATCAGATTTTATTAAAACTAATTTACCCCAAGCATTAGACAAACATTTTAAATACCAGCACAAATGCAACTAGGATAACAAGGATAATGATTAGTATGTGTTAAATCAAGGAATTTATTAGGTTTGTAGTTCTTAATGATTTTTTTATAATTAATTTATTCACAACCGGTTATTGCGAAGTATAATTAAAAAAATCCTAATAGAAAATTCTCTATATATATCTCTATCTCTATAGGGTAATTTAGAAAATTAGATAGTTAAATACACACAATTACTACCACAATAAATTTCAGCTAGCATTGTCAATGTTTCATCATTGAGAACCAAAATTAATGAAGGCAGCGGCACGTGAAGGAATTCATTAAGCTAAACATTCAACAACCCTTCAAATTATCAGACCGGAAATAGTATTCGAATTTCTCGACATTTTTCTTTGAGATTACAACTTAAACGATTTAAAAACAGTATTAAAGTTTAGTAGTGGAGTAGTCCGGATTAATCAATATACTCTTTTTGTTTCTAGGTTTCCATCCTCCGTCAAATTGAATCAGTATTACATTTAAGAGAAAAACTTGTGATTAATCATCAACCAAAAAAAGGAAAAAACTATAACATTCACGTTGAATCGTTGATTAATCAAGCAAAAAAAGATGAATATAACAACGTGCCCAACACGATTGATTTTTCACTAGGTACAAAAACTTGAATATATATTAATTCGATTGTGGAAAAAGCCTCACTTTGAACTATAAAGGTTAATCTCGTTCCTTGAGTCTTTTGTTATTATGATTACAATCATTATTATGAGTCGCTAATCATTAATAAATTCAGTTTCATTTTCGTTATACGAAAGAATAAGTATTAAATTTAAATATAATTAAATGATAAATTTCAATCGGACACATGGCATGATATAGTAATAAAAATGATAAAAAATTAGATAGTCAAGTACACATGTGTCGCAACCACATCACTCCATCAATTAATAGCAATTTCTTAATGTAAAATTATAAATTTATAGATAAAACTAAATTAATTAAGAGATTACCCTTAACAGTATATTTAAAATGTAAAAAAAAGAAAGGTGAAAAAAAAACTTCAAACTATTAAATCCGAAGACAACCAACTAAAAAAAAATCAATTTGATATAAAAAAAATCCAACTATCATGATGAGAAAAATCAATTCACCCATCAATATTGATTTTATGGCTATGTGTTAAACTGTTTTAACCATTAATTAGATTTTTTTTATTGGTTAGTATATTGGTTTTTATCTTAGCTATGCTGCTTCAATAGTAAATTCTTTTAATATTAATATCTTTTTTGCCCCTTAACGGGCAATGCTAATAAATAATTACTATTGATTACGTTGTATGAAAACTACAAAAGGAAAAAAAAGTAAAATAGTAATAAAACTAATAATCTAATTATATATTAATCAGCCAAAATTTTAACAATATAATAATAATTATATTATGTATAATATAATATTTTATAAAATAATACAATAAATGATTAATAATAAATTAAAATAATAATATAATATATTCATTATACTTTTTCCTTATATTATAATGGTAGAAACTGTTCACATAATGATGATAAAATAACGTAGAGATTAATAGGGAGAAAGTTTTCTAAAATAAGAAAAAGAATAAAGTTATTTGTGAGAAACAAACAATAAAATAAAAACATATTGAGAAATTAAAAATAATTATATGGCCGAACAAATTATGTAGAAAATAAGAAAATATGAAAAAAAATTAATATAATAGTAAAAAATAAAATAATCATTAAAATTTGTCAAGAAATGAAGCATTAAAAAGAGGTCATCAAATTTAGGAAAAGAAAAAGTCAAGACTATGCAACCAGGTAAAAAAAAATGAAGCAAACACTATATCATGGGAGAGTATATGAACACAATTCTAAAAAAAAAGTTACAAAAGGTATATAGAAAGATGGAACATAAAGATAAGTTTATGGAAAGAAATAATAAAAAATTTTAGAGGGAGAGTTTAATAGATATGATATGGTCACACGAGTAGAAATATTTACAGAGATCATTATGAAAAATTAAGAAAATATTTTTAAAAAATATAAAGCCATAAATCAAACGAATCGAAAAAAATGGATAACAAATTATGTTGAATAATTTCGAATATTGAAAATTTTCTAAATGTACTTGATATAACAAACCACAATAGCATTAAAAATTACAAAATTTCAATTAATATCATTAATATTATTCTTTTTATATATATCATTCTGTTAAAAATGTCATATAATCGTTGAATCATTAAATTTATATATATTTTGAACAACCTTCACAACGTGCGGATAAAAACACTAGTAATAATAATAACACCCAATTTTTGCTGTCCACATTGTAGCTCCACGCGGAAATACACGTGAATCGTGAATCATGACTCATGAATGATGAAAGCATTAACCACCACCTGGATGGTTAGTGATGATAATATTACATAAGTAATTAATTATTCTGATTCATTTATTGCAGTGCATTTAAATTTCCTCCAACTTTTTTCCGATTTAAAAATATTTTGGTCAACCTCCTGATTAATTACACTCCCGGGAATAAGAGGGTAGAATCTTGGATGAATGGTGCACTCATCTTAATCTTCATTTTGCTCAATATATGAATTATTACTGTAATCATAGGCCACTTAATCTTTGTCAATGGAGCGAGAAATTTCAAAGCAGCCGATGAAGTGGGAAGCCACGGTTTCAGCTCAATTAAAACAAGCAAGTGCAGATCAAATATGGCCGCTGCTGAAAGATTTCTTCGGCATTTACAAGTATTTTCCATCCCTTTCTACTTCCTACGGCGTCCATGGAAACAACGGCGAGATGGGTTCAATCCGGTACTGTGAAGGTTCCCGGATTCCGGCCAAAGAAAGCAGAGAAAAAAATGACGGTGGCCGGAAGAAATTGGAGCCAACTCCGGTGAGTTGGTCTAAAGAGAAGTTGATCGATATTGACCCGATTCGGATGTCACTTAGTTATGAAATGGTGGATAGCAATCTTGGGTTTACTTCATATGTTTCAACAATTAGGATCCATCAGGATGAATCTATTAAGAACAACAACATTGGATGTGTTCTTCAATGGTCATTCTCAGTTGATCCAGTTGAAGGCTTGGAATTTGAAGATTTGGTTGATAAATATCGAGTTGGGCTGCAGAAAATGGCACGCAAATTGGAAGATTCATCTTCTTCTGGAAAAGTATTTGATTAGCTTAATTACCTAACCATCCTCTTTTTTTATTTTTTTTTTTAATTTTTTTTACAACAATTACTTTATTTGGTTTGTATGTTTCTTTTAGTAGTACTCCCCCAAACAATAGTACTCGATTTACCGCAATTTTATTTCTTTATTTATTTTTGTTATTAACATTTTCAAGCGATTTTTATTTCATTCTAAGGTCAGGATTTTTTTTTTCCGATTTATAAACCATAATAAACTAAAAATAATGAAAGCAATAAGTTAAGGCGTCATATAACCTTCGATTTTTTAATCTAAATAAGGCAACGATTATAAACAACCAATCGGATAAAAAAATATTGCCCAACAAAATTAAAAATCATCCGACGAATACGTCTAGCCGGTCGCATCATGTCTTTGGATCGACATGATCCAATGAATCAAAAAAGATAAACGAAAATGTTAGCGGGATGAGGGAGTATTTTATTGTACGTAGGCAACTAAAAGAAATTATTCGAGCATAATTTTTTAGAGCAATTTTCCAATGCACAAGTTAACAAAGCTTTTATTCAATCGGTTTTTATCATCAAAAGTCCAACAACAGGGCAACCACTAAAGACATATGTTACGTAATTAATTAATGAAATAATTATGTAAAAGAAAACTAGCAAGATTTTAATAAAGGGGCAAACTTAGATGTTTGTATAATCAATTTTGGCACAAGTTAATTGTTTCAATAACCGTGTACCAACAATTCTTTTATTCTAAAATGATTATTATATTTGTTGTACTAATATATAAAGATGCCAATTATTTTAGAACAGAATAAGGAGTACTATATATAACCCTTGGAGTCTAATAGATCCCATTGCTTTTAAGTTATCGTTAAGCATTTTTTTTTAAAAAAAATTTTTGGGGACCCAATCAATTCTTCAATGGGGCAAGAAATGTTGATGTTTTCCAAGTGGGAAGCCAGGGTCTCGGCCAAGGTAGCGAATGCAAGTGCTGATCAAATATGGCCATTGGTTAAAGATTTCTTTGGGATACACAAATACTTCCCAAATCTCCAAATCTCATATGGCATCGAAGGCAAAAATGGTGAGATTGGCTCAATCCGTTATTGTGAATCATGTGATTTGGTAAAATCAAGTGATGATGATGATGATGATGATGGGAAGAAGCAGCCTTTGGTGAATTGGGCTAAGGAGAGGATAATAGGAATTGACCCAAATGAAAAGTCTCTGACTTATGAATTAATTGATAGCAATATTGGGTTCAATTCTTATGTTTCAACCATGAAGGTGGCGACCATGAACAATTGTGCAAAAATCAGTGATGATGAATCTGTTGGATGTGTTCTTGAATGGTCATTTTCAGTTGATCCGGTGGAAGGCTTCAAATTTGAAGATTTAGTTACACAATATCGGTTGTGGCTGCAGAAAATGGCTCAAAACATGAAGGATTTGTCCCAGTAATATATATGCCATAAAATTACTCACTCCGTCTAAAAGAAATTTTGTTTCTTGCACGACAAAATATAAATTTTTCTTTTCTTCCGGAGGCGAAGAGGAATTATCTTCAGTTTAATTTTATTTTACTTTTTTCAATGTTTTTTTTTTTCTATTTCTAAGCTCTTTTGTGATCATGTTCGTAAATGTAGAATGTGCCTCCGTGCACATTTTCTTCTTCCTCCTTAATTTTAATTTTCCTTTAATCATGTGATGTACATTAGTACCATTTTGCTTCAACTTATTAATTAAACTACTAATGTGAAGCTTTGATTTCTACAAACTCAAAGCTCAAGTGTCGGAACCCAAATCCAATAGAGTATTCCATATACGATGTAGACAGGCAGCCGAATGGAACAAAAGATTATTACAAATATTTCTTTTATGGATGAAAACATACCTAATGAAATACAAAAAAAAAGAAGATTTTACAAGTTTATATCAAAGTTAATAAAATTGCATAATAATAGTAGTATTGAACTCTATGTTAAAATTACATAAGTGGAATGATATGACAATTGAATTGTACCGCGCCGACGGAGTCAAACGATTCATGTTAGCGGGCCAAATATATATATATATATATATATATATATATATATATATTTATATTAAAGTGGGACAAAAGGATATTACAAAATAGGAATAATTGATTTTTGGATTGACTAAGACGGAAGAAAAAAGTAACACAATATTTTTAGTAATTCGCTCAGTATCAAAATTCTTAGACATCAAAAAAAATAAATAATACTCCTCCGGTCCTATTATTAATTAACGACAAACTAAAACAACACTTAACCTTGATTTGTGCATGTACAGGAATGAGGAAATAGCAAACCAAAACCGGAGAAGTATCCATAACAGATCGGCAAGAACAAGATCTTTATTCCGGCGATAAAATCGACCAACTAACATACTCATACCTCTGAATGTGTTAGGGTTAATGATGATGAGTAATTCCGGCGAAAGTTCGTGGTGATGAATCTAGTCAACAAACGAATCAGTCTTCAATTGCGCTTAGAGAAGGACGAGGAATTTTAAGATTTGCTTCCTTTTTTTTTGTTTTGTTTTTGTTAATAAAAAGAACACACACACACACGCACAAGTTGGGCTGCGGAAAATGGCACGAGATCTGAACATTTTGTTAGACCAACAAGTCAGAAAAGAGTCCAATAACTTTGTGTTCTTCAACCATGCATCTACACATCCGCCGATAACTTTTGACTATATTTTGGTGGTGTCAATCAGTTTGGCTGCGGAAAATGTCACGCAAAACTTGTTCACTAAAAACTTACCGGTCATTTACTCTATCCAATTTGCTTATAAATAAGGACTTATTATTGTGCGTTCTATAGCTAACTAAAATTAAACCAAATAATTTCCTTCAATGGAGCAAGAAACGTTAATGATGAAGCCCAAATGGGAAGGCACCGTCTCAGCAAAGATAGAAGATGTTAACGCCGATCAGATTTGGATGTTGATCAAAGATTTCTTTGGGATATATAATTTCTTCCCCACACTTCAAGCTTCCTACGGCGTTCAAGGAAATAACGGCGAGGTTGGTTCCATCCGTTATTGTGAACTTTTGCCGTCATCACCACCACCAAGTGATGATGATGATAATGGGAATAAGCCGGAGGTGCATTACGTCAAGGAGAAGATAACCGCCATTGATCCAGATCAAAGGTCTCTTACCTTTGAGATCGTTGAAGGAAACATTGGGCTCTATTCATATGTTGCAACCCTAAAGGTGGTTGTTGATGATGATGATGGATGCGTTTTGGAATGGTCATTTTCATTTGATGAATAGGAAGGAGAAAAGTTTGAGGATTTTGTTAAGAAATATCAGATGTGGATTGAGATATGGACTCAGAACATGGAGGATTCCTTGGTGAAATGAAATGCATGCATGCATGCATTTCCTAGAGGTTAAAAAAAAAGTTTTGATTTTTATTGCCGGATCATATTCCCATAGTTTAAAATAATTCCATTTCTTGTGGGTTTTTTTTTTTTTTTGGATTTTCTTAGATTAATTATGCATATTGTGGTAGGTTGACCATGATTTGTAAATCTGGTCTGGTGTGACATTAGTCTAATTATCTAAATAAAAGGGGATTTTCCACCTCTTTCATTTACGTATTTTCACCGTTAATATAGTTGGCTGTCTGGGTTGATGGTATTTTGAAATTCCCATTGTGTGTTACATTATTTCATGGATTTGATCGTAATCACAAATGGCAATGACCCGCTCGATTAATTCCTCATTACTTATATACACATGTCGGCCATTAAGCAAGATTGTTTGACGAGAGTAAACAATTTGTTTGGCCAAACACAATATTTTTTTTTCTTGCACACAAATAAATTGTATGTTACGATCCTTTTAACAATCATTATTCTCAATACAATTTGAATTAGAAATGAAAATTCAAATTTAATAATTATTTTGGGACGTAGAAATATAATGAAAAGTGCGAGCATATTTTTTCTTTTTTCAATGTTTGCAATTTTATCCCTAAAAAATCGTTTCTAATGTGATTTTTTACTGAATTTTCAAAACAAAAATCCACATCTTATAACTTATATCTATATTCTTAATTAAATTGATCAAAATTAAATTGGTTGTATCAAAATGATTTTATTATTTATTTGTCATATTGTTAAGTCATTTCGAAGAAAAGAATTCAAAAATAATGACTCACCGCAGCGAAGCATGGGCATAATACTAGTAAAATATAGGAATGATCCTAGAAGGACGAGAATCTTTCCCAAATCTTCCAATTGTCTAATTGCATGGAGTAAGGATTGGAAGCTTGAAAGACGAAATGATGTGGAGGAGTTGCTCAAATGGCCGAGGGAAGAAGATAATAACAGATGATCCAACTCATAGATCTCTAACCAATGATATAATAGCAATATTGGGTTCAATTTATTATACTTCAACCATTAAGCTCGTGGAAGACTAGACTTCTGTACAAAGCGGCTGAAGAATCTTTGGTGCTTTCTTGATTATCAGTTTCAGCAGTCCCTACTCAAGTTAACATTAAAATTTTAGATTGCATCCGGTCAAAATGACAGAAACTATCTCCCAAGGAAAGTTCAATAATTACGAGCTTGAACAGCAGGAAACACCAACACCCCCTTTTTCAAAAAAAAAAGAATAAGAAGAAGATAATCGCAATTGATCCGATTCGAATGTCACTTAGATATGAAATTAATCGACGAAAACATGCAAATCCTACGCCATGTAACATAGTAACACATGTAATGAAAGAAAATCGACGAAAACACCTGTGGTGTGGGTTGAGGGAGTCAACAAGCAACGAGTTTTTTTTATTTTATATTACGTACGCAGCTAATCGAAATTATTTGAGCATAAGTATTTAGGGCAGCAACTCTCCAATGCACAAATCAACAGAGATTTATTCAATCGGTTATTCGTTCAAAGTCCAACAACAGGATAACGACTAACGACATTGTATGCTGTAAGAAAATTATGAAAACGAAAACTAAATTTTTAAATAAGGGACAATGTTGGACGTTTCTATGATCGACTTAATCTCACTCCTTATTTGTTTTAATAACTATGTACCAATACTCTTTGTGTTTCAGAACGATTGTCATATTTGTTACAGTAGTATATAAACATGATAATTATTCTAAGACAAAAATATATATGGTATATAATCCTTGGACTCCAAGAGACCCGATTGCTTATACGTACTGATAGTTGAACATTTTTTTTTTTTTTTTAAAAAACCAAATCAATACGGGGCAAGAAATGTTGATGATCACCAAATGGGAAGCCAGTGTTTCAGCCAAGGTAGCAAATGCAAGTGCTGATGAAATATGGCCATTGGTTAAAGATTTTTTTGGGATACAAAATATTTCCCAAATCTCCAAATCTCATATGGCATCGAGGTAAAAACAGGGAGATCGGCTCAATCCGTTATTGTGAAGCATGTGATTTGGTAAAATCAAGTGATCATGATGATGGGAAGAAGAAGCCTTTGGTGAATTGGGCTAAGGAGAGGATAATAGGAATTGACTCAAATAAAAAGTAGTATCTAACTTTATGAGGTAATTGATAGTAATATTGGGTTCAATTCCTATGTTTCAACCATGAAAGTGGTGACGATGAAAAATTCTAGTGATGATGATCGATCTGTTGGATGTGTTCTTGATTGGTCATTTTCGGGTGATCCGGTGGAAGGCTTCAAATTTGAAGATTTAGTTACACAATATCAGTTGTGGCTGCATAAAATGGCTCAGAACATGAAGGATTCCTTAAGGGAAGATATATCCCATAAAATTAATCACTCCGTCTAAAAGAATTTTTAATTTTTCTTTTCCCCCTTCGGGAGGAGATGAGGAATTATGTAAGTTTTAAATTTTATTTTCCCTTTCTAACTCTTTTGTTGGTCAATGATCTTGTTCCTAATCATAGAATCCCAGCCTCCATGCACATTTGCTTTTACTTCTTGATATTAGTTTTTGTCATATCATGTGATGTAGTACCGTTTTGCTTCAACTTATGAAATTTAACTATTAATATGAAGCTTTGAATTCTACAAACTCAAAAGATTATTACAAAATATTCCTTTTTTTTGGTTGACTATGCATAATGAAATAAAGAATAGATTTTAAAAGTTTATAGTATAAAAATTAATAAAATTACATAATAAATACTATAAGAACGCTATGTTAAAGTTACATGAATGGATTGATATAACAATTGAATCACATATGCTGGAGGCTGACGGAGTCAAACCGTAAAAGAATTTATTTTCAAAAAGAAAAGGTGGGACAAAAGAATATTACAAAATAGAAATAATTATTTTTTGGATTGACGAAGACGAAAGAAAGTAGCAACGTATTCTTACGGATTCGCTCATTTTCAAATTTTATTGACAGAGTAGTGATATGACAGGAAAAAAAATCCAGTATGAAAACATCAAAACTAGATCTTAACCTTAAGTATTTAAACCCAGTATAAAAAGTTTTTAAAATGAATGGGTAAAATGATTTTTTTGTTATTTTTTCTTATAATTTTTTGTTGTACCTATCATTATTCTTAATAAAAATATTCTTCCAGTCCCGCAAACTAAAACAAAACAAGCGATGAGTTCTTCAATCTTCAATTAGTGTTAGTGGAAGACGTGGAATTTTAAGATTTGGTCCCCAAAAAACATAAAAAAATAATCAAGGTGGGTTGCCGAAAATAGCAAGAACTTGATGTAATTTGTTAGACCAGCAACATTTCAATGCAGCTTTCTAATCACCACATTCAACTGGTAACAACCATATATACATGTCCGATCACTTGTGAATATATTTTGGTGTCAAAATCTATGTAATCACATAAAAAACACGAACAGAAATCAATAAGCTCAAAGCCTAAACGATCGTTCAATCAGTCTTCTTCCACAATCTACCTAATCTCAAATGAAGAGATGCATACATATTCCCAACTTTGCATATATACCGGCAAGCAGAACAAATTAATTTTGTTAGATTATGGATGATGATAATGACCAATCTCTCTTTGGATGTTTTAAAATCACAAATTCTGAATAATTAACAAGACTGCGAATGAGGTGTTGGTTCAGTGGTAAAACCACCCTTGCTCTCGAGAGTAGATCATGAGTTCGAATCCCCACTCGAATAAGAGTGAGGAGATTGCTCTAAACCTTGCCAATCGACACCTCTAGAGAGCTTGTTATGACAAACTCACTCATGAATCCACGATTTCGCACCCGAACTTGTCACCCCGGGCTTGCCTAGGATGGTTTACCTCCCATTGTGATTTGCAAGCTATTGTAGTGGGTGTGGGTTTACCATCTCTGGTGGGGTTTCCGGCGTTACGGAAAAAAATAATAATTAACAAGACTGCTTTTCACGAAAAATAATTGAGAATAACTCGCCGGTTTGTTTTAATTTACCTTGCTTTCAATTCAAACTTCACCGTCTACTTGATGTAAATCCAAATTCGTAATGGGTTCAAGTTCAAAGCAAGGTAAATTAATGGACGTTCTCTCAAAAAAAAAAAAAGAAGGTAAATTAATGGACGTGATAAATCTGTTGGTAATGGAGATGCGATCCTGAATGGTCATGATCTTCATTCTTCAGTAGTAATTAGAAATTGGGGCTTCTTTTTAGGCTTCAAGAGAATTATCGGTACGGTAGCTTTGGTTACTTGACGAAAAGAAGAAATCTGCGTAAAAAAGCTAGCTCATTTTTTCCAATTGATCAATTTGAAGATGATGATTACAAAAATATCAACTCGGGCTGCGGAAAATGGCATTAAGATTGGAGCATAATTATTAGTTACACCAGCAAGATTCTAATTCAGAAAAAAACAAGATTTAATTTGTTAACAGTTCTCCATTTCCGAATTGAAAATTAAACAACAATGCCGACAACACGGTATATACTATATATAACAACCACGGCGCGTCATTACAGATCGAGTTGCTTAATTTAACCGATTAAACTATTACATTCTGTGAATTATACTACAAACAGTACAAATTATAAATTTTAATTGTGAATTATTTTCGTGAGACGTGGGAGAGATTACTATATATAATCCCCTTGAAGCCATGGCGTCTACTCAATCCATCCATCCAATTTGCTTATAATAAAATTAGGCCATATTATTACTGCCTGTTGAAAGCTAAACCGAATTAATAAGTTCTTCAATGGAGCAAGAAACGTTGATGAAGTCCAAATGGGAAGGCAACGTCTCAACAAAGATAGAAGATGTTAACGCCGATCAGATTTGGCCGTTGATCAAAGATTTCTTTGGGATATACAAGTACTTCCCTAACCTCCAAGTTTCCTACGGCGTCCAAGGAAATAACGGCGAGGTTGGTTCCATCCGCTACTGTGAACAAGTAGTGTCGCCAACGGTGGTGCATTGGGCCAAGGAGAAGATAACCGCCGTTGATCCAGATCAAAGGTCTCTAACCTTCGAGATCATTGATGGAAATTCTGGGCTCCGCTCATGTGTTGCAACTGTAAAAGTTGTGGATCCATCAGGTGAACATGATGATCAGTCTCTTGGATGCGTTTTGTCCTGGACATTTTCATTTGATGCGTTGGAAGGAGTCAAGTTTGAGGATTTGGTTAAAAAATATCAGATGTGGATTGAGATATGCGCTCAGAACATGAAGGATTCCTTAGTGAAGTGATATGCACATTTCCCTCCCAAATCCTAAGAAAAAGAAAAGTTCAAGTTTTTATTGCCTCAACTTCCCCATTGTTAGAGGAGGGAAGATGTTGTTTTTTGGATTTTCTTCGATTACTTACATGTGTGTATTGTGACATGTTGACCCTGATTTGTAAATCTGGTCGGGTGACGGTGTGTGATTCTGTCTATCCTATGTATTCAGCTCTGTTCATATGTTTCAACCCTATCCTCCCTGTGTCTATATGTCATCCGAAGTACCTGCTGAAGTTAAGGCCAAAATTTATATGTCATCCCACCCCAAAATGATAAGCACTACCTCTCTACAAAAGCTCAAATCGTTTAGGATCTTAAACAGCAAGAAACTACCTACTCCTTTGTGTCATATACTCATATATACATATATAAGGGCGACCAAAATCATTTTCATTTGAAAAAAAAAAAAAAAAGAACCCTCACGCAGTTATCCAAGAAGAAATTAAGATTTGGTCAATGGTTCAAAAATAAGAGTTTTTTTTTTTTTTTAAAAAAAAGGATCAATAATAATTCTCCACTTATCTCCGATCAAGGATAAGGCTATCCAAATATTATACTTTTATAGTTTCTTTTATTCTGGTTATACTTTTGTTTGTGATATCCAACCTCGCCTTTTGGGTTTCTTTTTCCATTTAGCATCATGCATGTTGTGTGATTGTAACGAATCAAGGAAGTTTACTTAGCTTGGATTCCACGCTTAGTATAAACTAGCAGTATAAAGTAGTTCTAGCTTTGGGTACATACATTACTTGCCATAACGCCCGTTTCAGTCTACTAGTCAAAAGTTGTAGAAAGCTTCTATTAGTGATTCATTGGTATGCGTTCATTCAGGCTAAATTATTGTTTGTGCACCGGCCGGGAAAAAAATGATGTTAAGAGAGTAATTTTATTTTTGGGTACAAAAATTAAGAGATTAATTAATAACGTCATTGTCTATAAACATTACTTTGACTTTCAAAACTTATATTATTATCCTTTGATTTTTTTTTTTATATTTACAGGGTTTCCACGGTCAATAATAGCGATTTTTTTTTCTTTCATTCAAATCAATAATCGGTTCTAAAACTCTAGATTATGTCACACGATTTGAAGCAAAATAATAAGTTTTGACACAAAAGTAAATGTAAATATATAGACTACAACTCATATAGGTTTAGAGGTCAAAGTTAGAAGACCAATTGTGGGATATACATCAGGACGAATATTGCCAAAATAATAAAGTTGCCATTTTATTTTATTTTTCCCATATAATAGGTACATATTGTCTAAGAGTAGTTTTTTTTAATTTATTCTTACACTATCGTTGTACAAGAAAAGAAAAAATAAAATTTGGAGCTCCTAGTACAACGTGGTGAGCCTCATTCCCCATTCCTCTATACTTTCGACTTTCGAGTAATTAGATCCTAACTAGTGGTTTCACTTTCATTCCTCTTCTTTTTTTCTTTTTTTTTTTTTTGTGTGTTTTCCTTTTCCTTTTCTTTTTTCTTTTTGTAGTGAAAACTGAAAATGAATTAAGATGAAGAATCTTTTGGGTGACCAAGGTCAAGGATGAAAAGTCAGCGGGTTATGATTGGTCCCATGTTGTCTGATCCCTTTGTGTTGTTTTGATCGGTCAAACGTTAAAGAGTCATATGTGTTTGTCAGTCAAGAACGTGGATGGATGCTAATTCAACTCACCGAAATGAATGAATGTATAATACGTACGGGAGAACACCTCGATGATGTTTCTTGCTTGCTTTGATAATAACGGATCAATTTAATGCTGCTAAATACTGGCAACCTGAAATCTGATATTCTCATCGATGATAATGTTCTGTTTTTTTTTTTTTTTGGGTTTTTGACTTAAAATCCAATAATGATGATAATGTTCTGTTGATTAATCTCCAATAATTCATATCGAATTTTCATGTTTGTACCGAAAACAATAGTACAAATATGAAAATTCAATGTTGATCATATTTTTTTTCCTCGGGACATACTGCGTATTATAAATTGAAAAAGTTGGATTGGGAGACCGAGAGAGGAGACAGTGGAAAAAAACAATAATGAGTCGATAACACCGTGATAATTTTGTAAATCATTCATTGATAATTGGATGTCTGATTAATGAACGAGTGATATTCATTTTACCGTCGTTATAATGTTTGAATGTCTTGATTAATACGTTCCCTTTACATTCCAATATTGGAAGACCAATTTGCTACGATTTTGATAATGATCAAAGTCCATTGTGATAATAATACCAATAAACAAATCACCGTACACAATTTAACCTATGATTCAACATCATTAATCTTCAAAACAATTTATCAATAAATTATTTTCTTTGGCAATCCTTTTGGAACAGAGAAATTTCTCTCTCTCTCTCTCTCTATTTTTATTTTTATTTTTATCAACAAGTACTTGATTAAGATGTTAAAAGATATTTTCAGCAGGATTTGAACTTTTGCATGCATCATCGATATAGTATAAAAGATATATATTCATTTTCATTTGAATTGGTCGCAGTGATGAATAATATTAATAGAAAATTGAGGGGAAAAAAAAGGAGAATTAAGAAGTTCTCCTTTCTTTTGAAGCTATCTATCGCTTTACCACCGTCTAATCTGTGCCTCTTTTCTTTTTCGATATGGCACGAGTAGAGAATTCTTTTTGGTGCAAGGTTTATATAAACTTAGCTTTCGGCACAGTCCGATCGGTTGTTTGAACGGTGTGATTTGGCTTTTGATAATCATGCAAGCAATCCAAAGGCTGGGCAGCTTGACACATTGACACGTGAAATAGTGGTGGGGTTTCTGATAATAATACCATTCACCATTCAATAAACGAAATACACACATCAATATTGAAGCATATATACATTCAAAAGCATCAATAAATTAGGGCCACTTCTATTAGACATGTTGCCATTATCACAAAAATATAATCTCCATACTATATATCCATTCAAAGTTCGTACCATAAGAGGACCCGTGTTGCTAGTCGTAAAATATGACTTTATCGATCTAGAATTAAAATTGATTGTAATATGTTTGTCGTGGTAGAATACCTTAATCAATTCAGTGTTATTTGTCTTAGTGATTTGTTGAGACTAAATGTATTATAGACGATTTTAATTTCAAGATCAGAACGTAGTATTGTTAGTAATTTTTACCTACGAATTGTAACAATTTAGTACTCCTGTACCAAAATTTTTTTAATGTGTTTGTTTTAAACAAAAACTTGAAGCATTCCGTGGCTTGGAAGACAAAAATTTAGGATAAAAATCTGCTGCACCTCAGGTTTAACGTGCGTCCGAATTTCCATGCACTTGAGGCGGTTCGTCGTGATTCTGAAAAAAATTTCTTACGTATTTGTCGTCTCTCCTAAAATATTGCTTACTTCGCCTGCAAGAATTTTCGGTTTTCTCGCTTCTGAGATTCTCCGGCTTAGTAAACCCTGCTTCAGCTGACCGACCAAGAACTTTAAACTAGTAAGAACTTAAAAAGTCAAACCTCACATTAACTCAGATCAGGTATATTCCGTCCATATTCTTGTGCTCTTTCATTTCCAGTAATTTGCTTTTCATTTTTCATACATCGATTGTACGTACATTTTAATAGGAGTAGTAAAAGTCAATACTTACGCAATAAATATTTTATTATTTTTAGAATAAATTTTTACCAACAAGTAAAAGTCAATACTTAGGCAATAGCTACTTTCTTTTAGGACGGAAACGATATTATAGTTTTATGTCAATGGTTTTTATTTGATAAATTGTAATGACAGAACATTAATTCTGAGAGACTAATTAACTTAAACTAACTAACAAAGAAAAGAGATTATTCTGTTTGTACCCCCCCAAAAAAAATAATAATAATAACAAATTATTCTGTTGCTCTACTAGTATTATTATTACGGGTGGTACGACAAGGACAAAAAGGAGAAAAAGAAAAGTAAACTACGTATGCTGGTTTATTACTTAAGCGAATCATGACACGAAATCATTGGTGTGACACGAAAAGAAGAAAAGGAAAAGAAAATGTATTAATAATTTTATAAAATCTGACTGTAATAAATTCTTACTGACCTCCTACTAGTACATATACATGACAAATTTATAAAAGGAAAAAATTACTACAAGATAAAGATCATTGTCCTATTCATTTACACATAATATATTCTCTAACCAAATACGTACACAACAAATTTACTCTTTACGAAGGGAAGTCATTTCACACAAGTCAAAATCACTCAAGATATTTTCATTAAATGAGATTTCATTAATTAATCTTATTAATTAACTTGGTGATGGAGAAATTGTGAGTTAATTACAATTAGTCAACTTACTAAATTATTCCTTCCCACCCTTTGAATGAACCCGCGTGGTTGGTGCTTAATTTCTCACTATTTTAATCTCTCATTCCCCCGGAGCCCCCCTTCCTTCATTGAGTCTTTTAAAATCCATTTTGTTCTTCCTCTTCTTCCTCTGCTTTTTCTTTCTTCCCCTTTTCAATGGCAGGCAAACAAGAAGAAAAAGAAGAAATCATGGAGAAATGGGAAGGAAAAGCCACGGCAAGGCTAAAAGGGGTCAAACCCGAACAAGTTTGGACTCTGTTTTTGGACGATTTTTGCAGCTTCCACAAATGGCTTCCCACCATTGACACGTGTTACCAAGTCGAAGGAATCAACGGTCAACCAGGTGCCGTACGCTATTGTTCGTCGACAACAACGTTGTCGGATGCTAATCATCACCATCATGATGACGGCGGCACTGCAAAAACTGCGGTTCTGTGGTGCCACGAGAAGTTAGTTTCGGTTGATGCCGCCGGATTATTACGTTCTCTGAGCTATCAAGTTTTGGACAACAATTTGGGGATCAAATCGTTGGTAACTACGATTAAGGTTTCGCCGGCAGTGAGTACGGACGGCGATGACGATGGGTCGGGTTGCCAGATCCAGTGGTCTTTCGTGGCTGATCCGATGGAGGGGTTAATGACTTATGATGGTTTCTCGTCTTACATTAACTTTGCTTTACAAGGCATGGCAGAGAATATGGAGAAAGCTTTACAGAAATCGCCTAAAATTGGTTAGTTAGAAAAAAAAAAAAAAAAGTATTACCATATCAGGCACATTTGATGATGTATTGATATATTACATAACTGTGCTGTTTGATTTTGCTAGGAAAAAGAAGTCATTTGGAGTTTTTGTCAACTTTTTTTGTATCACTTTCAATTTCAATGGAGTGTTAAAAGTTGTTTCCTTATTTTCTTTTTGCCTACTCCCTTAATTCTTTGATTCTCCAAAACAAAAAGAAAATACAAAAATCTGGTGAATGATTTTTCAATTATTTAACATTCATTTATGAACCTACGTTACAGATCAAGCCAAATCCCAAAATTCCAAATGAATTCACAATTAATTTGTCCAATCAGAGGACTAAGGTCTATAGATACGTTAGAGAAGAATGATAAGGTAAAGCTGATTTGTTTTGTTTTTTTTTGTTTTGTTTTTTTTTTTTTCTTTCGTAATACAATTTCTTTTGGTTGGTAGGACTGAATTATTGCTCCTGATCAAACAGTTGCGTTGATGATGATCTAATGGTTATGATATTCTAGTACTGCCATATCAAACAAGTTCACGACATACGTACATATGAAATTTTAATATTAGCAAAAGAGAGAGAGAGAGGGAGAAAGTTGTGAGAAGCTCCAAAGTCTGAATTCATGGGTTCATACATACGATGTCTGTGTTTGTTCATAGTTTTAGTGGGTTTGGACGTTTGGTAATTTGTCCATATATAGCGTGGAGCGTTTAGACAATCTATCTGTATATAAACACGTGATTGTTTTTCGTTATTGTTAAAAAGAAGAAAAGATATTGTTGTTAAAAATATTAACTTCAATTTAATTTGGTTTGGTACGTAGCAAAAGTTGTTGTAACAATCATTTCTTTGAATTCTCGATTCCAAGCAAGTAATAATAACGATTATACAGTAATCTTTCCGTTCTACAAAAATAATTCATTTTATTGTATTCCTTGTATCTCAAAAAAAATTAATAAATAAACACGAAATTGACTATTTTTCTAGAGTGGAAAGATTTTTTTTTTTAATTTCAATGAATTAGATTATTTTTTAAAAATATGAAAATACTAAATTTGTCCAATTATTATTGTTCATTCAAAGAATTAAAAAAAAAACACAAAACTACCAAAGCCAAACTACTTGTATTCTTTGATTTATTATTTACTAAACGAATATTGAAAATTTGAAGATTTATAGTATGTTCATCACATTCAGAATCTTTTGAATTTGAAGTAATGGGACGTCTTTAATGTGTCTTCAACAGTTTGGAAAGTTCTCCCTCTTCTCTCAAAAAATTTAGAATGAACCACAAAACATGTTATTGAATTATTGGGTAATTTCATCACATGTTATAAATTAAATTTATTCCCAAAATCGGTCATCGTACGAAGGAAAAAATCCATCCGAAGTCGTTCTGTTAGTTTTTCACATACTTTTGGGTTTAGGGATATTTTTGTCATTTTTAGTTTTTAATTTTTTAATAATTTTATTTTTTACTATTCTTATTTTTATACTTCCTAACTTGTATATGTTGATACTAATATAAATATTAACTTTTAACAATTAATTTACCTTTTATATTTAACTTCTAAATTATAAAACTTCTTTTAAAAATACAAAGAAAATAAAGAAAAAAATTCGAGTTGAAGTGATAATGAAAATGAACAGTTTACATTTTAAACCAAAAAAAAAAAAAAAAAAACTAAAAGAATCAGTTAAGACAGGTCGCTTCTTCTTGAGTTTTTTGGGCGTTAAATAGTGATGAAAAATTATTTTTTACAAACTTTCGAGTCCAGGGATAATTTCGTTATTTTGTATTTCTCTTTAAAAAAATTTAGTTTTAAGTATTTTATAATTCTTGTTCTTATACTTCCTAACTTATATATATTGCACTAGTAAAATTACTAAGTTTGAAAAATTAATTTACCTTTTGCATTTAACTTCTATATTATGATTTTTTAAAAGTTAAAAAAAAATGAAGAAGAAAAATTCAAATTGAAGTAAACATGAAAATTAATATCAAATAATTAAATTCAAGTGGAAGATAATTAAATAACTTAGAAGAAACAACTTATCTTAGCTAATTTTATGGTTTTTTTTCTTTTTTTTTTAAAAATTGTAAATTATTAATTTTCATTTTACTTCAACTCGAATTTTCCTTCTTCATTTTTTTTTAATTTTTTTAAAATCAAGAGTTAAAATACAAAAGATAATTTAAACTAGTACCAACATATACAAGTAGGAAGTATAAGAAGATAAGAAGAAGATTTTAAAAAAAAATTAAAAGAAATTTAAAAATAAAAAAATACAAAATGACAAAATACCCCTATATCCAAAAGCATGTGAAAAATAGCTTTAAGGCCAAAATTAACAAGAACGACTTTAGATGGATTTCAGGCTTAGTGCGGTGAGCGATCTTGAAAATAAATTTGATTGATGACCTGTGATGAAATTATCAAATAATCCAATGACTTGTTTTGTAGTTCACTCAAAAATTTATATGGTAAATTTTGAATTACAATTTATAATTCATAGTGTGGACTGTTTTTTTTGGACAAAGATAGTATAATAAATTTTAATAGCTATTTTATCATATAAGTAAGGCAATATGTACCCTTAAAAAAGAAGAAGAAGAAGGGGAATATGTGTAATTCTTGACAAATTTAATGTAAGCATAAATAATAATTTAATCTTGAACAAAAAGAAAAGCAATATTCATACAAAGTGAATGATATAACACAATCAATTTTTTCATCACAATTGAAAAAAAAACAAAGAAACCAACTAAAGAAGAAAAAATGTACTTACTTACCTTCAAGGGGAGAGAGAGAGAGAGAGAGAGAGAGAGAGAGAGAGAGAGAGAGAGAGAGAGAGAGAGAGAGAGAGAGAGAGAGAGAGAGAGAGAGAGAGAGAGAGAGAGAGAGAGAGAGAGAGAGAGAGAGAGAGAGAGAGAGAGAATCAACAAATTTTGGAAACAAAACACTTATTATTCTTTTCAAGTTGTATAGAACAATTCTTTAGTTCTCATTCATGAAATCATTAAATTGAAAAAAGAGAAAAAAGAATGGACAATAACAAATTTAGAGTATTGAGAATTGTTGAAACTTGAGAATGTTATATAAACCCAAATGGATGGATTTTCGGGGGACACGGATTGGAGTTTCATGATTGATAGATAAAAAGTTAGTTATTTTTTATCCTTTAGTATTTTTTTCCATTACAATGATGTTTTCTTTTTCATTTAAGTCTATATTTATTTTCTATTTAGTGACTTTTTTATCCCATCTTAATGTGTTTATAAATAAGTAAATTTATTTTATTTTTTTAGGATTGAAAGGGAGTAAGTGATGCCGTCCAAGAAAAGGTTTCACATGCTATTTATCAAAATTGCAACCATCACATTCTCTCTAATTTTAGAACCAAGTCTCCTGGTTTATTACTTAGAATGTGTTTTTTGGGAGCTGCAAAGGCATACACTGATAGTGAGTTCACAAAAGCAATGGATTACATCAAGAAAAATCAATCCAGTTGCATATGAATATCTGAATGCCCTTGAAAGACAGACTTGGACAAGACATGCGTTCTCGGAAACACTGAAGTGTGAACAAGTCACCAACAACATATCAGAATCTTTTAACAGTAGGGTTGAAGATTTGAGGGATAAACCAGTGGTTGTAATGTTTGATATTTTGAGGGGTAGGTTGATTGCCAACTTCAACACAAGATATGCATATGCCGCTTTATGGGAATATAATATGACCCCGAGAATTATAAAACAACTGAAAACAAATGCACAAGCCTCTAGGGTTATAAAACTTTGGTGTTGTCCAGATAAACTCTTTGAGGTTAGAGAAGAAAACAAGTCTTTTGTGGTGATCCTAGAAGACGAACATTGTGATTGTAGGGAATGGAACCACAATGCCATTCTTTGTAGACATGCATGTGTGGTGATACTAAAGTATTTGAAAAGCTGAAAGCTTACTGCCATTCTAGTCTTTCAAGGGCAAAGTATTTGAGAACATATAGGGATAGGATTTATCTAGTTCGAGACGGATCTTTTTGGCCTACATTTGATGTCCCATAGTGTCGTCCACCTTTGAAAACCTGGTAGACCGACAATTAAGAGGGAAAGGCAGCTTTTGAAGGGCCAACGAAAACATCATTTAGGGGGGAAGTGTGGAAAATGTGGTGAACACGGCCATAATGCAAGAACTTATGGTAGTGGACCTGTCAGGCAAAGAAAGGGTTACAAAAATCAGAAGTTTAAGGTTAAGTATATTTTCTTAAATAAATTTTAAAAATTAGCTCTATGCTTCATTTTAAACTCATATTTTTTGTTATATGTTTTTATCATGAGTAGGCTGTAAAAAGTTTTACTGAAAAAGGAGCTAATGTCATAGCTAGGAATGCAAATACTTTTTAGGTTTTTCTTATCATCACAGTCATGGTGATGGTATTAAGTTTTTGAAAGACTTAGATTTGCCATCTACTAAGAAAGTACTTGGAAAAAGAAAAGTACGCCAATCAGATTTGCAAACTCCACTGTTAGGCTTCCAAAATAAATCTAAGGTCACTTAGGTTTGTGCAATTTTCCATTTTTGGTATAAAGCTATCTTGTACGATAAGTAAAACCTAATAGTTGTAGCTTTCATGCTCCAAATATCATTACTTTGTTTTTCAGTATTTAGCTAAAGGCCTTCAAAGGGTGTTTAGAAGTATCAACTCATCATCCCTTCTTGGAAGTGAGTTGGAAGGAAGGTTTGTGATGCAACATGCTGCTATAGAAAAATCAAAAGCAACAGGTTCATCATCTCTCTCTCTCTCTCTCAAAACCAACTTGCCAGAAGTGCAAATCTTTCATTAGAAAAGTCAAGTGTTTCTTCATCCAAGCTGTGAGCCAACTGCAAATGTCTAAGCCATTTGGACTTCATGTGGTTTGTTAGGTACTTTAGTTGTAATCAAGTGTTTATAGTTATTTTGGTGGTATACTTGTCTTGTTTGTCATGATTGGTAATGTAATTGAGACATATAAAGTGCTCATATTTTGGTGGTTACCACTAAAAGTATTGAGATAGGTTGCAAAGTGCTCGAATTGTCTGTTCTCCGTTTGATCATCTAAAACTTATGACTAGATCATATGATGATTTATGTTAAAATAGTCCTTTTGTACTAAAGGAACCAGGGGTTTATTTCACTATCCATCGTTTTGTACTAAACCATATAACAAAATTATGTCGAGGACAAGAATGATACAATTTTCCAAAGATTAGCTGGTGATCTTAATGTTGCAATTCGACCCACAATGACCGCAAATAGTATACTGAAATCTCATGCCTTCAGTATCATTTTTATAACTTGAGTAGGACATCCTAAAGTAAGATTATAACAAAACTTCTAGCATTCATATACGTACTATGGAGAACCAAATTGTATAAAATTGGGAATCAACGCATACTTTCAACTCATGATAACCTGTATACATACCTTATTTGATACTATTGTTGGCCAACTTGCTGCCGAAATCATGGTTGAAAATTACTTGAGATGTCTCCCTCATTTTGCAATTTACTTCTCGGTCGAAAATTAGGGTAAGAATGAATTAGGGATTTGTGGGACTACAAAAAGAGGATATATATATATATATATATATATATATACATTGAAACTTGATATATATTAAAGGTCGAAGGTAGGTTTGGTACCAGAAAAAAATTTAGATTTAAGGGTATTTTTCTCTTTATACATTGAAACTTGATGATGTCATTGCATTTTACCACGTTTCTGTCGGCAAAAGGGCAAATCGTCCAAAGTTACGGCGGTCAAAGGAGGTGACTGT